TAAGAAAAAAAAATCGTCCTCTGGTCACCTTGACTTCATGATCAGCTCAGTGAACAGCTAAAACGGCAAAACATTTTCGCTTAAAATAAAGATTTTTAAACCGTCCGAAGTCAGTTTTGAGCTTACTTGAACAGCGTAGGTTATCGTTCATTTTAATTGACGTTGCTCAAGGTATTTTCGCTAATTGACAATTCTTAACTATAAATTAACAAAGAAAACAAGGCCGGCAACGCTCCAAATATGATTTTCTAACATTACAGAAAAAAAAAAAAGAAAAAGAAAGAAGTTTGGGCCGAAGTTGTTCAAGTCTTCTCATTCAAATGGAATTCATTTTTGTGTTCTGTTGAAGTATAAACGGTTATTGCATCATATCCTCTTGTACTACATGTACTACCTATGATTGCATGAATTAGCCCGGATGTATTTAATTGTAATGACGTCACGCTATTACGCTATTACGTCAAAGTGCAGTAATCATGCTATATTGGGCTTCATGGGCTTAGCGTTGCTAACGTTACATTTGTCGGCAAATCATAGAATAACAACAGAGTAAACAAATGAGAAAGCTCGAAGAACAAAACTGAGAACTGCACCACTTTGCTGTTTGTATTTACTGCACAGCAGGACTGTATCGTAGCATGATATTTGCGACCTCGCTCAGTTGAAGCATAAGGAAACAGCCGATGTTACGAGCTAGAGGCGCCTATATTGCGAGCACAACTGGCGCCGCGAAACGGCTGTTATGGCGGCCTAGACTATTGCCTCCTCAGCTTTGCGCTGCAATATTTGGCGACCTGTTCATGGGCAATTTTAATGATTACACCTGCATCCTGTTAAGGGCGAAAACGGCTTGCAATAAGGAAGTTGTCGGTTTTATTGTCTGTGGCTTGGCCCACTTTTCCGCAGCAAAAATAGATCTATCTTTACGAGCACTTATATGTTATTAAACAAACTGTATGCAATATGCAGCCCAATTAACCATACGAAACTCGTTAAAAATATGTAATTCATAAAGAAATGGTGACTTTAGACTGGAAGTCGACAGGCTGGGTTCCTTTTATTCGACCTCCAGTGCGGGCCGGTTTTCAGATCTCCAGGTGCGAGTGGAACTAAGGGGATTAGGGTTAGGATTTAATTTACGTTTTTTTTTACACCTACATGCACACTTAAAATTTTAATAACCTTGCGCCTTCAGAATACGTTGAGATCCACATTCTATCACTTTTGCCGCCAAATCGTCAGCATTTTCGTCTTCAATTACAGCGCTGAACTACTAGTCACCCGCGCAAAGAGACGTAGACTGGTCAAGAAGGCTAGCGCTTGTCAAACATTTCACCTCATAGCTGCCTCATGAGCGCCACGAGCACGCGAGACTAAACCCACGCTTCGCACAGAGAAATAAGTTAAACCGCTTGTGTTACAACCTAAGGGGCATTGCATTAAGCCCAAAAGTAGGCTGTTTAGGAAATAACGTTTGATCCGGCCGAAATTCAAAGGAAACCATTTTTCAACAGCCATTAGCAGTTAGGAGAAGTCGGTAATCCCCAAGCACTACCAAAGATACACGATACCACCAGAGATGTGACAAAAGCACGAGAATATTAAACAAAACAACAAAGACAAAAGCTTCCCACGCAGCCGAAAGAGAGACCCGAAGAAGGCCGCATAGTTTTGCAATTACCCCCAGGCCCTACCCCGCCCCACTCCACCCTTGTTATTTATCAACACCCAATTGGCGCAAAGATATTCGTCATTGAACGATGCAAAACAACCTGAAGGAAAAAAATGGAACTATTCTGGAGAACTGGCACTTTTTTCGTCTTGAATAATGGACGCAAAAGCTATTTTAATAATTTCTCAAGACAAGCCTTTTTTGTCACGAGTTTCCCTTGAACTGAAACCTCTTGAAATCTTTCCGGAGACGTGCGAGAATAGTTCATTCCGTCCGTTGAGCGCAGAATATGTACAAGGTCAAACAGAGTAAATATTTGTTAACACATAGTTTGAAAACAAAGAGCCATAAAGACAAAAACTTTAAATTCATGGTTATTTTGTCAAACGAACAAAAATAAAACCTAACATGTTTTTTGAATTTTTTGGTTTATTAATAGCGAAAACGAATGAAATCAGAAGAAGCATTCATTCATTGGACGATAAATGAGATAAAATTAAAGTATTGCGTGCCGCTTCCGAACAGATGGAACGTGAGGTCACGCATGGGTTAAGTCCTACGTCACTCAAAAACAAAGACATTGCAGACATATCCGGCAAACAGAGCGTTTGATTCCTACTATCACGTCACGTATAACTGAGCACAGAATTGCTTTGTGGATAACTTATTCCAGAAGAAACGCAGCGTCACTATTGCAATTAACACTGCTCTGGATTCTGGAGTTTTGACGATGACGGAGGAGGAGAGTAGAGTTTTGCGAGTCGTGCGATCGCAGAAATGCAAGAAATGGCTCCATATATCTGCCATAGTTTTTGGGTTTCTTAGCATTGGCGGTTGTTTTGTACTGGCAAGTCTTACATATATTCTTTTTGGGGATTGCGAGGACTGTACTCCAAAACCAGACGATAAAGAAATGGTGAAAATCATGCGGATACTAGCGACTGTTTTATTCCTTTTTGGAATTCTACTTATCGCTTTGTCACTGTGTTGTAAAGGTACAACGAACAGTTTAGCACCTCAAGTCGTCGTGTCGGATATTCCACCAGGGGATTTAGAAAAATCACCCGCTCCTATCCTCGCTCAGACTCATACTCCACATAGACAAGCTTTTGTAGAGGAAGCAGCAACAAATCCGCCAGATTTTGTGGCAGCACTGACAATTAATGCTAATGAAATAGTTCCTAGAGGGAGTAGTAATTCGTCAGTGAATGAAGGATTTTGGACAGAAGAAATTGAAGAACTTGATGGTCCTGTAACTCCTCCACCAAGCTACGAGGAAGCTTTGGTGATGAGATGGCCGAATGTTGTAGTACAAGAACATGGGTCACAATCAGAAGACTCCATACATTCTGAGGACACAGGATTATGAGAACTCAAAGATCAAATTATGAAAAGAACAAAAAACACAAAGGATTAAAAATCAACATAACAGTCGTTATTTCTTTGCAATTCACGCAATGAATTATTTATCTTTCTTTCGTAAAATTTTCTACGCACTTTTGTACATAAATGTATATTTACAAAGACACACTGATTTTGTACAAATGTTTGGGGTATTCTACTGGGTCGTTTATTTTTTTAGTAATGTTGACAGATGATGCGTGGTGTTTAAACACGAGTTGAAATGTGTCATATTTTTTTCATCTATGCATGGTAAATATTACGTTCATTGTTTTTGGAAGTGAACATATAGATTTAAAAGAATCATTATTTTGTAAATAAAGGGAATTTCAAATATAAAGTTCCCTGTAAATGCTTTAGATTGTATAAAGTACTCATTTTGAAGCATATCCTTGAGGGTTACATGAACAACTTAAAGAAAATGCTTTGCATTAATATAAATAATATCCCCCCAGAGATGGCAAAGTCACATAATAATATTCATTACACATCATGACGATGGCCATGAAACTATTTGAACCTTGACTTTCACCAAAAACAAAGTTCTCTAAGCTTTCTCATTACCTATTCTGAGTTTTAAGGAACACGCCAGGCTCTTGAATGTAACATAAAAAGATTATTGGAATAAGAAGAGGCTACTATACAATCAAAATATCAGAATGCTTTTGTATTTGAAGCCAATATTTAAAGGAAATTCAGTGCAATGCCTAGCAGATCGCCCAACCATCCTGATCTTGTTGGAATTGCCCCAATTTTGCTTGAAAATCCTGAGGCTGGCCAATATGTGATTGGGATAGGAAGAATCCCAATTTAAAAACTTGTTCTGATTTTTTCATACAACTCCTAAACATTAACACCAAATAGTGAGGGGTATACTAAAATGAAACTGATCTCTAGAAAATGAAAGAAACCGCAAGAAACTTAAAATGAAATTTGTATGTGAAGGCATGCACAGCTATGAAAGTGTTTGACTGTGTTGGCCTGAGAGAAGCTGACATTTTGCAATGCCACCGGAACTGCGTAGTGCTCCCGATTGGTTGAAAATTTGATTCATCCAGTCAGAAGCACTTTCTAGATCTGGGTAGTGAACATCATCAGCATGGAATTTTGGCACTCGCTTCTCTGATGTCATTTCATGGGGAAACCATTGGTGACGTCATGAATTGTTGGCTATTTTCTCAGGCTATGACTGTCTTTCATCTTGTTGGTCAATCATTATTGAAAACAAGAGTAAGAATGACAATCTATTTACTGAACATGTTTCACAGAAATTGTCTTTTGAGAACAATAAAAATAGCCTTTCATCTCAAAAGTTTGGGGGTAAGACTGCCCCATAGTCCCCCTTACAGTTAGCACCTTTCAGGACTCGCATTTTTGGTCTATTGTTAAAAAATATCCTAAGTTTTTATACTCAAAAGAATGGATAGTTTGGCCCAGGCCAGCACCCCCAAGACAAGATCTCTGGGAAAATTCTCCACTTCTAATCTTCAACAGTTGACTTTTTATTGGGTTGTTTCAAAGGCGCAAATTATTTCTATGGCATATTATTAACCATGCATCATGACCAAAATTATTATTTTACCCTTCAAAGTGGTATTTTATTGGAGGTTTTGATCCAACTTGTTAGATAAAAAAAAAAAATTTTTCACTCACATAAGGTAAGTCTTGTTTTGAGTACATGTTAAAGCTTGAAACTTAAATGTTCCTATTAAAAACTCACAACCATTTTCTTACATGCATACAACTGTAGCTTGTCAGAGAATGTTACAATAATGCGGTCTGTAGGTACAACGAAGCAAAACGTTTTTCAATTATGACAGATCTAAATTAACTCAAGTTTATATCACTATTAAATTGAGCTCATAAGAAGCAAAACAATCCTTTTTTCACCTAAAGATTTCACAAGGTTCCTTACCAGCACCCTTTGTCACCATTGTGATTTCTGTATCCCAGCTATGAGACCTTTATCAGCATAATAGCGAAACATTATTCTTGAAATGCGATATTTGCCAACAATACCTCGGCCTCTGTCAGTCAGAACACACCTATTCCGCACACGTGTTATTGAACTGTCCAAAGGGAGTTTGTCCATATCTTTGGCAGCTTTTTCCCGCACTGCAGATGGAAGAATATCATTTTTCTTTAAAACCCTCAAGTTGGAACGTTCCATTTCATGTTGTTCATACAGTGCTCTTCGCTTCATGTCCCTTCTGGCCCATTTCTTCAAGTAATTTGGTAGCAGGTAATATTTTTCCAAAGCTGGTGAGGTTTGTAATGATCTGCAGCAATGACCTTTACAAAGAAAAGGTTAATGTTAACTATTTCAACATAAAAAATTTGGGAATGAATAAAAACAACTCTTGTATCCATGTATTATCCTCTCCCATATGGGCTTTTCAGGGATGATGGGATCTAATAAGGCAAAGAATCAGAAAAGGAACCCAACTGGAAGGACTGGAGGTGAACCAGTTGGTATTTTACAAGTGTGACTGAGGATTCAAACTCATCATAACTGAGAACAAATCCAGATTGTGGTCAGGGTCAGAATTAGATGTAAATTCAAGGCACCTGGATCAAAAGTCCAAAGCTCCCTAATCCCACGGCCATGCCTCTCTGTAGCCAATAGTCAGAGCAAAGTCAGTACCCTCTCACTCTATCAATGATTTGAAAGTGTCTGTAGTCTCGGTTAGGATCTTGAGGCTACGGCTGAGATAACACACTGGGATTCATCCCAGATACAAAGATTGAACCTATGGTAAAAAGAGGTATTTGGGGTTTATAGGGTAGGAGAGTACATGCAGAGTACATGGCAGGTGCACGCACAAGTTTTTTAACAATAAATATATAAGTAATAAGGGCCTAAACACGGCCTTGCATGAGCAAGATCTCGTCGAATTCTGCCATACTCTGCAGACAGGGGACGGGGGTGGGAGTGAGCATAAAAGAAGGAAAGGTGAAGGGGTAAACCCATAGGGACCCCCCCCTCCCCCCCTTCAATCTGCAACCACGGTTGGCAACAACCTTGTTATTCCATAACTTACTTATATGTGAACACTAACAGGCATTGAAACAACTCTTTTAAATTTGCTAAAAAATCCATCTAAAAGTAAGTAAATTAGCTTCAAAACCTCTCAGATATGTAAGCTGAAAATAAACACCATTCAATAAATTTTAGTGACCAGTATTTATGCAAGACTGGGTGACTAAAATGTAAATAACCTTGTGTGATATATAAAATCTTACTTTTAAGAAGTGCCGATGAAAATAACCCATCAAACCTTTGCATGTGCTCAGTCAGACGCCTGAACAGCACCGCCATATTTGTTTGCCCTAACCTCGCTTTGGTAAAGAGGCAAAATCAAATCGAGGCTGCACAGTCATTTCCAGTTTTGGAGTCAGCGGTGTTTTTCTCGGAAGAAGGAAACAGCAGTTTTTCCAAAACAAAGGCCTTATTAGAGTTCTCATTATTTTCCCTTTCTAGTTTGATATGGAGTCTAGTGACGTCGTTCGCTAGCAATAATATATCGAGACAGGCAAGGTGATACTTAACTATCAGCAGGAGTGGAAAAGTATGGATAGTTTTAGTGGACAGGCGAAGGGCACCAATGGATGACTTCACGCTCATTAACTGATATATTTCGGGTTCTCCTGGTCCGCCACATGTTTCAAAGGAACTACCACGGACTGTGGATACCCTAAACGTTTCTCTTCATTTTTTGTTTTGTTTTTTACCGCGGCGAACTCGAAGTCGCCGGTTTTGCCAATGGGGAGCTCAACGTCGAAATTTCGTAAAGCGCTACAGCGCGGAGAAGGAGTTGAGGCCATGCACATTTATCTGAAAAACCCAGACATAAAACGTAATCTAGACCCCAACCACAGTTTTGGCGTTAATCACGGCCATAATACAGCACTACATTACGCTGCTTTGCACGGTATGAAAGCTTTTGTGCGAGAATTCCTAGAGGAGCACGCAAACCCGAACATTCGAAATGCTTTGGGCCAAAATTCTCTACACTGTATTTGTTCCGTGACGCACATGTACCAGGTGAATGAGTCATCTGTTGACAAGACCAGGGCTGAGTGTTTGTCTAATCTTTTAGCTTGGAATTCAAGCAACCAAGAGGAAATAGCCGCCGAGATAGATGGAAAAGATGAGGTATAAAATTAGTTGACGAAGTTATAGCAAGTCCATGTGATTGAAAGAACTTCCGCTTGTCGTGGCTTAGTGAGTTTCACTCTGATATCTTCGAGACGCTTATATTATTCATTTAATACTCGATTGTCTTCATCAAAGCAAACAAGTTTTGGTATTTATTCATCAGTTGTAATTTACTCGTGGATGCCAGTGAAAATGTGTCAAAAAAAAAACTTTTATAGAAATACTTTTGCATTTGAAAAAGTAGAGTACAATATTAAAATACATGTACAGTAAAGAAATTGGGACTAAAATGTCGAAAAAAAACGTTTTTGATTTTTCCTTTTTTGGTATTTGGTATCCATTTTTTTAACGCAACTGTTTCACACATGATAGTTTGTGTCAGTTTTTTCAGTAAAATTCATGTATGCTGTATAAAGTCTGGGAGATGACAAAATTACATAATTCAGGTAGAAAACATGACAGCAATTTTATTGAGTCTATCAAATCTAAAAAAGCAGGTGCAGCTTCTTAGCAAACATAAATGGAGTTACTTTGAATTTTTTTGCATTCAGACAGTCAAGTTTGTTTTCATCAGAAAAATATGTATGATGTAATCTAAACAGATAATGTTGAAATTCAGTGAGAGAAAAAGATATAGTCTGTTGCAAAATATAGTCAGTCATAATTCCCCACAATTATTGCAGGCCTGCAAATACCATTTTTCTCTTTAGGATGAATATATAGACAACAAACCAGAAATGTTGTCTGACATACACTAAATATATGTTAACTTTTAATTTCTTTAATTACTATGCAAATCTTAAGCTACAAAATATCTTTGGTATTTGATCTTTGTGGTCATCATGTCTGATTGCTGGAAGGATTTTATCAGACATGGAGAAATGTTATTAAAACATTGATCAGATCAGAAGTTTTTAAGTAATTTGTGTGTTGGATGGAACAAATTATTAATCAGTATGCATACAAGCCTGTTTGTTTGAAAAATTATTAATAGAACTAACAAACCATGGCAGGATCAGCTCACTCGGTAGAGCGCTTGACTGCAGAGCGGGAGGTCGCGGGTTCAATTCCCGGGGCCGGACCAATACTCAGGGTCTTAAAATAACTGAGAAATGATAGTACTTTCTTTGCCCTGCAGGCGGCTGAACCTTCGCGTGGCTCGGATGACCATGTAAAATGGCGGTCCCGTCTCCATCAGGAGACAATAAAATATAGTGTCCCCAATTAGCACTTTCGTGCTAAATACATTGACACTCAAATAAAGTGCATTTTTTTTTATTACATGAAGCTCGATTCTAATTTATTGCTGGCAATTGAAAATATGTGACAAAGCAAAAGAACTTAAAACAGCCAAGTCTTCTTTTACAGCACTAAACTAGGCAGTCAGTAGTGAATACAGTATTAGTTAAGAGCCAAGCAACCTCAGGGTTCAAACAAAATGGTATAATTTAGATAATGTAGATTTACTCAAGGTTTATGTAGAAAGTTTTCTATAACCAAGAGGGCCAACTCAATAGCCAATTTTCATCAGCAGTACTACAACTTGTATGATGTCTCAATGAAAGTGGTGAATATTCAATATGGTAACATTCTAATGACTATAATATGTGTACGTTTTTTAGGCTGGTAACACACCCTTGCATTATGCTGCTAGATCAGGTCTTTTTCACTGTGTTCAGGTAAGCATGCTCTTGCTAGGGAACATTGCTGTGAGAACTTTACAACTCACCAGGTGATTGGGGGATCTTTGCCAAAACTGGGAGTCCCCAAGGGAGTCTGGGAGACTAAGCAGCTCTGCACCATTTTTACCTGAAATATTATTTTTATTTTTAAGATCTTGGTTGCCTCTGGTGCCTCCTTGTATGAAGAAAATAAAAATGGAGAGACTGCCTGTGATTGTGCAATAAAAGGGAACTTTAATGACATTGCATCCTTCTTGGAATCAAGAATGGTTTTCTCTGTAAGTATGGATCATGTTTCTAAGTTAAAGAAATCTTCAACTGATGCCACATGTACATGTATCAGATGAAACTGGGAAGGAATTTAATACTTACAGAAAAACGAAAAGGCTGCTTTAACCCATGATTCAAATTCTAAATCAATTTTGGGTTGAATACTGGTTTAGTCTGAGGAACAATTTTTCCCTTTAGCAAACAATGACAACCAAAAGTCATGCTGTAATTATGGGGTAGTGTAATTAATTAATTAGTTATCATTATTCTTATCATTATTATTTTTTCATTTTCTTTCAAACTATGTTCTAAGGAGAGTCCAAGTGCCATCGCTGTTGAGGAACCTATATTTGTTAACACAGATGACGAGGTATGATTAATTGTAGGTGACTTGTTGAGGTGGCTGGATACAGATTTGCTACTGGTTTAAAAAGGAAATAATTATTTTATTATCATCATTATATTTTAGAAACAATATCGAGGCCTCTGTGCGCAAGATCTACAAGAAGCTAAGGACTTGATGCTTGTGGAGACTGCCGATATGCTCAGGGTAGGAATTGCAGTTCAATAAGAAGTGTCTTTGTGAAGTTCAGTTCTATCTACATGTAGTTGAAATAAATTGTTAGCAATTAAATAATGCTCTCAAGATCTCAAAGGACTCATTTGAAAGTGTTTGTTTTGTCCTCTTGGACCAAGGGAGAAAAATCAACAACACATTGAACCCACAGATGGTGTCGATCTCCACACTACCGCCCCCCCCCCCCAACCCTGATTTGAACACAGGCCACAGTGATAGAAGACAAGTGCTCTCACAACCATGCCCTTTGAAACCGAGAATTATTTAACTAAACATGAAGTCGTGTTGTTCTTGTTTAGGTACCATTATTCACTGCAGAGGGTCTGCTGCGGAACCATGGTTAGTGAAGTTTCGTCAGCATATAACCATTACCTGTTAACAATACCCAACATATCTTCAGGAAAATTCAGATTCAGTAGGAATTGCTTTTCTAAAGATTTTTATCGTGGTGTTAATTTTTTTATTGGCACTGTGCCTTAATAATCTTTTGAAAGTCTGTCATGTCTTAACTTTAATCCAGCCACAGGCTCAGTTTCACAACCATGGACAAAAGAAGTCTGTAAAATGTTTTGTCCATTAAACTGTGGCAGGGTAATGGTGAGTTTTTCATTGTACGTGTAGATTGGTCCAAGGAGGCTCTGATTGAAGCATGGATGACTGATCCTGTTGCTGCTTGTGAAAAAGCTGGAGTTACTCTTCCAGAGAGTAAGAAAGTGTTATAATACTGTAATGTAAAGTTGATGTAATGTATTGTAGTTTTTGTTTGCTTTTGAAAAATAAGTATTTATGATATGTCTGGAATCCTTATTTCTCACTATACAATGTCAGATCAATACGATTTAAGAATGTCAGGCCCTTGAAAAACCAACACACTGTTAGCTGTTATGATTGAGTCAGAAAATGCTGATCTTTCATTTCCGTGTCATCAAGATTGTAATGTGTGTCATCAACTCCTGACTTCTAGTGACCAGCCAAGGAGCTTGCTAAAATGGTTGTAAAGACAATGAGCAATTGGCTTTAATATTATTGTTGTGGGCATGCACAGCTCCAGTGCTCAAGAATGCCTGTGAAGCTAGCAGGATTGCAACAGGAAGGCAATTATTAAGGAGGCTTTCTTAACTCTAGTAAAACATTTTTGTGCGAGAAACTGCCTTGTTAGCCAACCATGGGCCCATCAGGAGTTTCCATTCTTAACACAACCACTTATATGTAGCATAGAGGTTGAAATATATTGATTTTTTTGGCCTTTTCTCTTTCATGTAAACCAGATCATCAGACAGGCAATGCTGAACTTGAAGAGAAAGCAAAACTTGCCAGAAAAAGTAACTTTAGAAGTTCTGTGAGTATGCATGAATTCATAAGAAATGTGATTATCCAACATTGCGACTTGTCTCCATGGACATAGTTCAGGTCTTATTTTGTTTTCTTTTAGATAACTTTTTCTTGATTCATGTTTTGTTTGTTTGCTGTTCATAGGAGGTTTGTTCTATCTGTGTGGAAGAAATAGTCTATGAAGATGTTCCACTATCTCTTTCCTGTGGTCATGAATTCTGCCGCTCCTGTTGGGAGAGGTCTGTACATGTATTTAAAGTCTATAATCTTTCTGTTTTTCTGTCTATAAATGTTGTTTTCTGCTGGGTGAGAAATGAAAGAGGCAGAAATATTTTTCTCACACACATCTGGGAGTCTGGGTACTAGTGTGTTGAGGGTCTTGACTTGTCATATGATTGGTTGTAATGTACCATTGCCTGACCTCCCACCCACCCACCCACTCTTGAAGCTGAGTAGTTTTAAGCGATTGCCTCTGAAGGTCATTTACTATCTCTTTCATAGCTACTAGTTTCCCTCAGGATATATTTTTAGTTAAACATTATGTTCTTCATGGCAGATACTTAAATGAGAAGATTAAAGATGGAAAAGCACATGGTATTCAGTGTCCTGCATTTGATTGTAGTGCTTTAGTGCCTGTGGTGAGTAGTTTTTAATAATGTAAACAAACAAACTTGCAGTAGAAAGAGAGTTTTTAACCTGCACCTGCACCTGCACCTGCACCTGTAGTCATGGTGACTGTTGGGGTGTCATGGACCTAGCAACTCTTTCCCTCCATTTGATTTTGTTTTCTTATTTTCTTAGGGCATCACAAAACTTCAATCCTGTCCACTCAAAGATGTTATTCTCCCAACGCTTTTTTTGACAGCCTCTTCTTCTCCCTCCTTGCACTGTTCCTTGTAAGATTGCCTTTTGCCTTGACAAGCCCTGCTGATCTTGATACATGCCCAAACCACTTTCACTTGCGTTTCTTTACCGTGGTTAAAAGATGTCATCATAGGGCCCAATTTCCTGCCTGATTCTGTCTCTGACTGCATTGTTAGTGATGTGGTCTCTGTATGAGATGCTAAGCAGTTTCTTAAAGCATCTCATCTCAGTGGCCTACAATTTCTTTAGGATGTCCACTGTCAATGTTCGGGTATTGCAGGTATACAACTGTACTGAGAGAACCAGGGAGAGCATAAGTCTGATCTTTGAGCTTAGAGAGATATGCTTATCATTCCAGATGGTCTTCAGTTTCGCTAGTGCTGCTGTTGTCTGTGCAATTATGGACAGTACTTCAGGCAGCTTAGGAACTTGATCTGTGATGACTGCGCCCAGATACCTTTACTTTAAGCTGTCAACCTTGTCCAATTTTTCACCATTGATCCTGATCTCCATGCTGATGCCATTTGTGTTGTTGGTCATCAGTTTGGTCTTAAACCACTTATAGATATATTCTCTCAATAAAATAGTAACGTTTTTTCTATTGTCACTGATCCTTTTGTTGTTGTTTTTTAACTCTAGGAAACTATTGAAAGCCTTGTCTCAAGAGAGATGGCAAAGAGATACCTTCATTTTGATATAAAGGTCTGAATTTAACAATATTGTATATTTAAAGTCTTTACATTCATTCAAATGGTACTGCGCATACCTAAAAATATCATTTTGAGGGTTTCCTAAGTCATGGTTTTCTTATTTTCATGTTTGACTTTAGTAGATGGAGTGACTTAAATTAACTATTAAATTTCAACCTTTTAAGCAAGCCTTTAGGAACCATTTCCAGTTTGTTCACAGATGCTTATAACTCATATGAATGGCACAATATATATTATTTCATAAATGACGAGTTGTAACATACTTTTGGCAGGAATTTGTTGAGAGTAATCCCAGTTTGAAATGGTGTCCATTTCCTCGGTGTGGCCGAGCTGTGCGTCTCCCACTTAGCATGCTACCCTCATCACCTGTTGCTCGGGAAGTGAGCTCATCAGAAGAAACAGAACCCATGATTGTAGACTGCGGTCAAGGTCATTTTTTCTGCTGGTAAGTTAGTAAGCATAGGATACTCACCAATATATGCAAAGATCAAAGTGAAAGAAGGGGCCTATGCTAATGGAGTGTGTTTGGTATGGATACTTTACAAATTACTTAGAGTCAGTGGAAGAACTCAGAAAAGGGTTAGTGCCTAATCGCAGTGAATGGGATATAAATCTTTCACAGGAGAAGTCACAGAGATTAGCACAGGCTACCCACTTTCTACTAAAAGCACGGTTCCCATTAAGTATACACTATTTTGATCTAGGTTTTGTCAGTTTAGAGAAATGTATGATGTTTTCAATCTCATTTCATACTCCTTGTGAACAAAATCATTTAATGATAAAGTTGGAAGCCCTGAAAGGATCTTTTCACATTCTATACTGCAAGAAATAAAAGTTGGAAACTGAGAGTGGTTTATACTCACATGGGTGAAGATCATTAAGATTGTCTTAAAAGCATATTTTGTAGAAATGGAGCAATTTGTTTGAAACAGTTTTCTTGAACCTCAGGCACTGTGCACAGGAAGCCCATGCTCCTTGTAGCTGTGAACTGTGGCGTAAATGGCGGAAGAAAATTGCAGAGATGATGCCAAAGATACCAACCACAAAAGGTCAACTAAATTCTTACTGCTACAGTCAGTGTCTGGCACTATAAGTATCTGTCTGGGACAGGTGTCTACCTTGTGACAAATATCCAAGAAAATGACCCAAGAATGGCAGGATTACCAACTTAAGGTTGCCATTCTCGGGAAGTGGTTCTGAAAGAGCTGAATGCATTATAGCACATGTTTTGCAGTCATTTAGAACTGCTTTAAGCTTTGTTTGCATGAAGGGAGAGTGAAGGTCCATTGAGGAGCTTCCCCTTCTCTATTTGTGTCCGAGCTTCTTTGCATAAGAGGTGTGGCTACCCTAGGCTAGGTAGAGGGTTACCCTATCTGCTCTCGATGACATTGTAACTCTACTAGGAAGGTTAATTTCTTTGTGGCCTTGTAAAATGGTCCCGCTATGGTTACACTCCTAAAGGGAGTCAAGTGAAAGTTCAAGTCAAAATACCATATATGCAAGTTTCAGTGGCAAGATAGCTCTTCCCTTAACCTTGTTTATGTTAAGAGGATTATCCTCCTCCCTTTTCAAACAGGGCTTAAGACTTTGCTGACAACTGCATTTCTGCTCTGATTTGCGTTTTAGATGTTTCCGAGTGTCCTGAAACAGAAGTTGTTGCAAACACCTTATGGCTAGTAACAAACTCTAAATGCTGCCCTAACTGCAAGTGAGTCAGCTAGTTTTTTTGTTGGACAGGCTTACTCACAGGCAATGTTGTGAAATCAAGAAATATTGCACTTCCCCACACCTGCAAAGTTTTGCATGTACTGTACATGTTTTAGTGCAACATTAGTCAGTTAGAGAGTATAATTATTGGTAAAAGCTTTATTTTGATACTGAAGCAAAAGCACACAGATTACTAAATATATACACACTACTGGAAGGTCTAGAAGATTTCTTTTGTTAGCACACATTTTACCTACAGGGAATTGCAAACTACAGTATGCTTTATGGTGTCAAGTTATGCAATGATTGTTGCTTTCTAGATCGCCCATTCAGAAGAATGAAGGATGTAATCATATGAAATGCACAAAAGTATGTATCTTTTAACTGGATTATAATTATTTTTTCTTTCCATTGATCTTTTAGCATTTAGCTCTTCCCCTTCACAATATCTGCATGTTTGATAACTTTGCTGATTTATTTTTTTCTTGGTTTGTTTTAGTGTAAACATGAGTTCTGCTGGGTTTGCCTTGAACAGTGGAAGAAACACAGTTCAGCTACAGGAGGTTATTTTAGGTTTGTACAACAATAAATTCTTCACCAGGTTGAGCCAATTAATGTACAGTCCTGACATTATACACTATCGTAAAAAAAGCAAAAGACGTGTGTGTTAACCATGACAGGTTTAGCTCAGTCAGTAGGGCCCTGACCTGCAGAAGGAGGAGGAGTGGGGGGCAGGTTGTGGGTTTGATCCCAAGTGTGCATTAATGACAGCAGTTTTACCTCAGTCAGGATGTTATTGGTTCAATCCCCAGGGTCAGACCAACACTTAAGGTCTTTAGATAAAAAGTGCGCATCAACTGCATCAGGTTTTGCTCAGTCAGTTGAGTGCTGGATTGCCGAGCAGGATATTGCTGCTTGAATCCTCAGGGCCAGACCAACACTTAGGGTCTTAAATAGGCATGAAAGTGTGTGTTAACTGCAACAGGTTTGGCTCAGTCAGTAGAGCAATGGACTTCAGCAGGGGAGGGGAGGTTGTGGGTTTGATCCCCAAGGCTGGACTAACACTAGGGGTCTTCAAAAAAAAGAGAAACAAAGGTACTGCGTCCTTTGCCCAGAAAGCAGATTAGAGACCTTCACTAGGCTTGGATGATGACATAGAAATTGCAGTCTCTTCTAAATTAAGCCATTAAACTAGGTTTATGTGACAAACATTCTGCATACTGCTAAGAACATTTTATTTAATATTTTATTTTTTATTTGCAGGTGTAATAGATTTGAAGTAGTGCAAAAAGTAGAAACAGAATCAGCTAAGCTAGTGTCAGAGGTAATGTTTTTTTAAATCCATTCTGTAATATTACTTGAAATAAAAAATATATATATCTATAAGTGATAGTTGTATCTTTAGAGGCAAGTATCAGAAAACTTAAAGAAGTACGGCAGAAGTATATGCTTCTGAATACGGCTTATAGCGGCTTGGTTATTGCTGTTCGATAGGATTCACCATAGTAGAACAAAAGGTATACAAGACAGGTAACTAGATTGTTTATATGTACACGTAACTCGTTTTGTGTTTCGTGTTTAAATCAGTTTTGTACCCTCCAAGCTTAGCTTCAGACTATATCCATGTCTCCCTACCCTTCTGAAATACTCGTTTGTCATTTATTTTAACAGGCAAGTACAAAAAATGCCCAAATAGTAGAGTTGAATTGTTTCCTACATTACTACTCTCGCTTCAAGAATCACGAAAATAGTTACAAGGTAAAGGCTTTTACTCACCTGGAGTGCTTTTTACTTTCTGCTTTTGTCAGCCTTGAGGGGAGGGGAGGGGAGGGAAGGGGCTCCTTTTTCCTCAAACTTTACTTTTTTGTGTTTTAGTTTGAAGAGCCTTTATTGGGAACAGCTAAAGATAAAATGACAGCTCTGGCGATGGCTGCCATAGAAACAGGTAAGCCAAAATCATTAAAGCCTTTCTAAGATATTAAAAGGCTTTCCCTCTTCACAAAGATGACCCAGGGCAAACGAGATAACAGTCCAAACAGATTCAAGCCAGCATTTTGAAACGTTTTTACTTGTAAGTACCCCTTAATTCGTGTCTGTGTGATATTTTATTGGCTTTTTCGTGACTGGCCATTTTGTTACACTTCAGCATAGCTGGATGGTGTTGTTTTCAACTGCAGTAATGAGGATGGTGCAGTTAATATTTTATTTCGGTTGATTTTTTTCATTTCAGAAGTTTTTGTTTTTCCTTTGTTTCAAATTCATTAGCATGCATAACCATACCCCCAAACAAAGGAAAAACAAAAATCAAGCACAACTGGGACCTTATCGCTCTGTATTGGCTATTACAAGATTGTGCGAGAAATTAGGTCAAAATTTCTTCCCCCAAAATTCCCATAGTACAATTCAGTACTTAACCACCCAGTCTGAAGCGCCACATCAAAAGTGCCAATAACTTAGTGGTAAATCATATCCAACAAATCACGTTTTTTGCCCATTGCAGTAAAATCAAATTTAAGTACCAATAGGATTAAGTTTCATTTTGATTAACTGATTGATTGTTGCTTGATTTATTGCAGCATCAGCAGATAATGTTGATACGTCTTTCATCGAGGATGCTGTGCATGAATTACTTAACGCAAGAAGAGTTTTACGAGCATCATATCCTTATGGTTATTATCTTACCGGCAATAAAGACAAGAAAGCAATATTTGAGTCCATGCAGGTTAGCGTTGTTACATGTTTACGTTATGATCAGTCGTGTTTTATTAGCTTTGCTCTCTCGTTATTGTGAACAGCTTAAAGTCGTCCCTGAGTCCACTAGCTGCTGTTAGGTTTTGTACGACATTGCTTTCATTGTTGTAGTTGTTTTTTTTTTCATCAACTGCTTATGACGTTAGAGTTACAGAAGAGTTTGCAGAACCTGCCTCCTCCGCAGGCTTACCAAGGCATAGTTGGGGGACACGGACTTTTAACCCTTTAAACCCTAACATCAAAATTCAAATTCTCATTTGTGATCCCTATACGTTTTCAATAGAAGTAGTGGGGAGAATTTGTTGAAGTACCAATTAGATTCATCTTGTGTGATCATGTCCTTAATTCTCATGAACACTCTGTTTTATAAAGCAGTGATATTACAAGGAGAAATTTGACGCCGATCACTCTTTGGGCTTAGAGGGTTAAAGCGGGCTGCTGGAGACTTGCGAGTGGGAGTTGATAGCGCGAGCGGGGAGTGATGGGAAGGAAAACGAGAGAAAAATGAAATACAGATCAAATGCACGATTCAAGTAGCCTGCGCATGCGTAGTAAGCGTCTCTGTGCGGTTTAGGAGCAAAGAACAAGGAACAAGAGTCAAAGACCGCGCGAAAAATGGCGCAAGTAAAAGAGCGGGGAGGGGGTGGAGAAGAAAGGAAGGTTTACTTCCTTCCCCTCCCCCTCCCCCTCTTTCATTTTTTGGCTCTCGTTTCATTTCTTGCGCGGTCAAAACCGAAAATCCCGTTCCTCGGTTTTTTTTGCTCCGAAACTAAACGGAAAACGCTTGCTACGCAGGCCACGATTCAAGCAAAGTTAATTTTCAGTTAGTATAACATTCTGTGACACTCCCCAGATACCCCTCCACTAACCCAATATTAACACTCTCTTCTCGCATTGGGCAAAGTGTTGGGTATTTAACTTTCAAGTATTGCTCTTTTTTTGGCCTTTAGACTGAAGTAGAAGAAGCTACTGAGACTTTGTCTCAGATGGTGGCTCGACCTTATTTGAGAACTCCGCGTGCAAAGATAATTCAAACAACCCAGCTACTGCATAGAAAGCGACAGGACTTTTTGTTGGCTTTGTCTCGAGGGGTTATTCCTGATGACGATCAGCTTTCACAGCCGACAGGCTTTGTTGACAGGTAAGTGTTTGTCTTTGCTAGAAAGGGTAGACGGGGGCAGGGGGTGTCGCAAGACAGGTTTTAATAGCCGCACATAGTGAAAACAAGAAGTTTGATTTAACGCACTGCAAACAGAAGCGCGCGGAAATCGATCCAGCTGCACATTGGTTTATTCGTTACTATCTGTGATAATTTATTTGAACTTTCTCTTACTTGTGTGTTTTTATTTCAGGCTAAGTCTGATTTCACATTCAGGTGCTAGTCAAGACAGTGAGGTAACTTTAAAGCCTCTCTTTACTCACTGTATAAATTGGTAATATATCTCATTAGGTTGAGAAATTTACTTCACATCTTATTTGTGACCTTAACATTGATCACAGTCCCTGGTTCAGGGCTATCTTCTACTTGTCCCTCTGAAAAGGAGAGAACCCTGGGAACGAGGTTGCAACTTTATCCTACTGGTAGACAACTCCTATATCCCTTTTCTGCGTGCTACCACCACTAGGAATTTCCAACCTGTTTTGTCCCAAGAATAGTCTCACTTATTCCTGTCACTTCCCAGTAAAGCTAACAGAGGTGACCTGTCCCACTCCAGTCGTCTTCATAACAAGCGTAACACGGGAGAGTGAGGTGTTGCGGATAGCGAGAAAGCGAGAGAGAGAGAGAGAGAGAGAGTGCCGTCGTTTTTCTTCTCTTTCCCCCTGCCATTATCTCTTGCTCCCTTGCCACCTCGCACTCATCTTAACAATGCAAACTTGGGTTTGAAAATTCGACCAAAGGTCCATATTAAAACACCAGGATAGTTAACCCTAACTCTCCCCACTACTTCTAAAGGAAATGAATAGGGGCAACAAATGAGAATTCAAATTTTGATCTTAGGGTATAAAGGGTTAAAGTATAATTGCATCACTCTTGGCAAAAACATTCAAATATCACTATTCAAATACTTCAACTTATTCTTTTTCAGTCTGATGAAGATGAGAGCAACCTTGATGAAATGCTGTCCTCACTTGAGCAGTCAATTCTCAGTTCACGTTTAGCGAAGTTGGGTATAAAACAGAGCGGTGATAGGGCAGAAGGAGAACAAGCCACGCCCCTTGAAGATAGAGTCAACTGCGAAACTATTCACAAAAAATTCAACAGGACTTCCTGTTACTTATGTGAACATGGCTACAGCTCCAACAAGAAAGAAGAGAGAAAGAAAAGTAACTTGAAATCTTGTCCTTTGTTTGCTGTCAAGGAAAAGAGGAAGCTTATTTATCATTCCAGCTTGTATCAAACGCCACGCGCCGTTAATAACTTTCGACTCTTGTCTGTGTGTCACTAAAGAGCATTTGGTGATTTACGCGTAGCTTGGTTTGAAATTGCTACTCCCCTAAGCCCCTTCTTCCTCCTCAGGCGCGCGCTTCTTTTTACCCGTGTTTCTTTCAGGCGCGAGCGCGAAACGCGAGTGACTGGTACGGGTAGAAATCCTCGTATTGTGCATTTCTGTTAATTTATTATTTTTGTTGTTGTTGTTGTTTGCTTTAGAACGTCACCGCCAAAGCCAGCCAGCTGATTTTAATGAAGAAATTGATGTAGATTTTATGAGGGCCATTCATCTTTCCCTGCTACAACACAGCACTCCAGCCAATCACAGAAGCCGAGAATCAAGCTCTTCTAGTAGCTCAGCAAGCTCAAACAGAGATCAGACACAGCCTAGGCAAGACATGGCCGCCGCCATGACAGTGTTCTCTACTGACGATAGTGCCTCTCTACAAAGAGCCATAGAGTTATCACTTCAAGATTCTGCTGTAGGAGGTAGCTATTAACCCTTTAAACCCTAAGATCAAAATTTGAATTCTCATTTGTTGCCGTATTCATTTTCTACAAAAGTAATAGGGAGAAGTTGATAAACTATCAAGCAAATTCATCTTGTGTGATCATGTCTGTAATTCTCATGACCACTCTGTTTTAGAAAGCACTGATATTACGAGGAGAAATTTGATGCTGATCACTCTTAGGACTTAAAGGGTTAATAAACTTGATAAGCATGCATTTTCTTCACACTCTTCTCAATGCATTTCCCATGGTACTAATAAGGAGAAATTGAATAACAATCCAGACCGTTTTTACTTGCTCATCAGTTTCTCATCAGCCTCATGTTTGATCAAACAATGGTACTGTAAGGAAAAAACTACATGTTGGTTATTTCTCCTCGATAGCTAAAATAAATTGTTCTGTCTTATAAATTTAAAAGGTTCTTGTCGGCCATAGTGTTTAGTTTCAATGAAGCTGCCATTTTTACTAACTTTTGGCAATGTTTTTTCCCTCAGATATATCCTCGTCTCCTGATGACGATATCAAAAGAGCCATCAGACTCTCACTGCAGGACAGTGGTCTGCCCCCAGCGGGTAGTGATGGCAGTGGAAACACGGACAGGTCATCTTCTCAAAACCAGCAACCAACACTTCCAGCAGATAGTGACAGTGATAGTGATGATGAATTCGTTGTTTAGGTATCTCCCTCCCTCCCCTCTCCCTCCCCTCTCCTCCATTGAATTGGGTAAACTGCTGTTACCTACTGTAGCCAACATGGACGTGTGAAATCCTACGCCATTTTCTCAATCTCTTCACTGTCAAAACAGCCGATCCACTGCGCCGCCTCTTAACGCGACGTCTGTGCGTCCCTTTTTCTTTCGATATCAATACGATTGACGTCAATCGAATTACTATCGGCAAATATCTAAATATCTTCCAATTTTGGTCAATGCTAGTTGGTTATGAATAATTAGCGGGGAGATTTAAGCCATTCAGAAACGGTAAATATATTTTGAATGCCATGATAAATAATGTTAAATATAATTTCTCTATACTTTTACCTAGATATATTAAGGGGATGTCTTTGACGAAAATGTCATGATTTGCTAACAACGAGACGTCAGTGTAATTTAGAATAACTCTAACGCTAAATATGTTCAACATAAAATGTTGAAAGTAGGTTTTTTTGTTTGTTTTTTGTTCGTCTGTTTTTTCGTATGGTTTGCGCTTACTCATACATTATGCGCAGTGTCTGGAATATGACCACTGTGGTAAGGGAGCGGTGTTTGGGGGTTGGGGGAAGGGGAGCTTACCCACACCTCCTTCTCCATGCTACCGCTACACGAGACAGACCGTGTGGTCCTTTCCTATACTATCATAATATTCAATTGCTGGCATACAGGTTTAACCTGCATGAAAGTTTATCGATTAGGTTTTGTGTAAGTAGCTCATTTTAATACTTGTCGCCATTTTTATTGTATTGTAAGAACAAAAAATCAAGTAATTGGTGTTAATTATATTAGAACGGCATACATAGATCCCAGTAAATTTGAAGGAACGATGAGTTCTTTCTTTAGTATTGTACATCCAATCACTGTTTTATGAATCGTCAATTTTTACTTGTAAATTCTCAATGACTGTAGATAATTGTATGTAGGCTAAATATCATAGACAACTTGTATTAAAATAATTCTTTCTGTTTTTATTCGTAATTTCATTTTGTAATATTGTTTATGTTTAATTAACGTTTTCATAATCACTCTATTTCTTTTTTATCCACCTTTGTGGGACGATAAAACACAGTAACAATCAGCAATGAAGAGTTCTCCTCGTCCCCAGGGCTTTTTCCGCGACTGTTATTTTCTAAGGAAAAAGCCTTTAGACGAGGTTGTACGCCGGCTGGCAAGAGAGAATCTCTTCCTAATCTCTTGGCGCCGGTTGAAGGATTACAGCTTCCGAAGTTAAGCTATGATTTGCCAATACTAAAAAGTTTTCCAACTCGGTATTAGAGAATCGTGAGACAAAAGATAAACGAAACCCTTACACGCATTAACCACGATGAACAATATCTTTCATGTCACATAATTCTAATTTTAATAGATTTTTTACCCTAACGCAATTACTACTGAACGGAACAGCCATTTACTCTCTGTTTCTCTGTAGAAATCTCGTGGACCTTTTTGATTATCGTAACAAATGCTTTTTCCACATTGGTAGTATCTACGGCGGAAGTTTCCATGAATGGTATTTTCGATACACTTGCACATTTAATGGCTTCCTCTTGGTGGACTGCTCGCGAGTGCTCCAAATCACGTTTATTTCCCACAAGCACTGTAGCAATGGACGAATCTGTATGCTCATTAATTTCTGTCAGCCATCTTGCAATATTCTCAAATGTTCTGTGATTGGTTAAATCATAGACTAGAACAGCTCCAGTTACTCCTTCGTAGTGGCTTTTGGGTAGGCATCCAAAACGCTCCTGTCCATCTGTATCAAAAATCTTACCACAAGATAAAAGGTTTGTTAACTAAATAACTGGGAAAACGTCTTTGTGCTATAAGTTATGAAGGATTCTAAAAAGTACTTCATTGTAAACAGATGAATTAGTGCTTTTAATAGTTTCCCTTGAGTGGCGTTTTCCTTGAAGTGTACGCCAATAATATTAAAGTACCCTTTTCAACCTGTTTTCCTTTCCAAGATACCCGGACTACCCCAGTATTGGTCCCCCCCTCTCTCTGTCTGAGACACGGCACTTGATGATTTTTTTTTTTTTTTTTTTTTGGGGGGAGGGCAGGGGCAGAACTTCACTACGTAGATATCGTTCCGGCTTCCTTCCCGCCACGAAATTGAAAAAGTAAATGTCAACCTTGATTCGTTCGTTCATTGACACTCCTGCCACAGATTTATATGAAACCGTATTGCCAGCCTCAAGGGAATCATCCTTCCCAGCAACCATTGCAACACTCACACAAGCCACTTTCTCCAGCCTTTTTTCGCACTGAACAACTGGTAAGGACCGGGAACGACCGTGCAAGATCGCAAGAGTGTGTTAAGAGTGTGTAGACATGCAGTGCGATCGATTTGGACGTTCAAACTGACCGAGAGTTGGGGCGAGTCCAAAAAAAAGATTCCAAGGGAAAGGTTGACAAAAAATGCCTGCCCTGCAGGCTATGAATAAGGAAAAAAACTTCTTTAATTAAGGGATATTCTGATGTTTTATAATTTAAAAGCAAACCTACTTTTGGAATAACTTTGGGATAGTCCCCTTGGTCTACAGTGGTTTTCGCTACGCAATTACATGCGGAAATATCGCGCAAAAAAAGCGTTGTACACATTAAGATTATTTTGAAAGTTAATTAAGTCTTCGCCGGTTTATTCGATCAGTCCTAATTAACCATCAGCGAAAATAAGGTATTTTTGAGTAGGAGGTTAATACGTAAACATCAATGATAAAAGAAACCTTACCATAGCTCTTATCACCTTTCCACCAATGGTCAGAGTCACCGCAATGTAGTGAGAGCAGTACATTGATGTCGGGTTATTCCTCGTGAAAGAAGAAAGCAAAGACGTTTTTCCGACTCCTCCGTCACCAACTACAACTATCTTGTACAGGTAATCAAATTGATCTTTTTTACCCTTGGCCATGACGCTTGAAAGAGAAAGATTTCCGCACACAGCAATAAGGTCAGTGAACTAAATGGATCATGCGGAAATTCTTCAGATCTTTGCCACTACTAACGCGAGTTCTCATTGGCTATCAGCAAGTAGTATTCATTTGGTTTCCATCTACTGAAATGGCTGACGAGGGAACAGGACGTCTGGCGCGTTTTAAGGTTTGTAACTGTTGTAATGATTGTTGATAGTCAATATTGCAGCAGGAATTCCTTAACTACAGTCTAACAATGTATGAAACAACAGTGATGTTGGCAAGCAAAGTAAAGAAAACTACTTGTCCAGCGGTGTTTTTAAATTCATTCCTCTGTCTCAGGCTAAACTTATCATCACATTAAATCGTTTACTTTAACAACTTTTGTTCTTCACTAAGCTGCCAATTACCTACTTATCGATACTTACACAAGACCTAAGCAGATAGATACTCCCAGTGCATTTTTACCATGGTACATGTAACACATTTACATTAAACAGCTGTGGATACTCTAAATGATAAAGTTTCCATCCAAAACAGCAGACTTTGTTTCATAAAGGAGCCTGCACAGATATGATCTGAAACAACTTAATCTACGGAAACTATAAAAGAGGAGTAATGTAATCAAAGCTGGGAAGATCTAGGCTAGCACCTAACATCGCATGAGAGCCAGGACGTAACCGACGTAACCTCTTCCGTCAGTTTGTTCCAGGCTCAAAGATAGAAGGGAAATTGCACAAAAACAGTGTGGGGGCTGGGGAGAGACGCTTTGCCGTGTTTTGCTCTCTTGCCTTTTCACTGCTTGACCGCTTTTTTCGCTTATCACTAACCGAGACTGGCGAGTCTGGCATAGGATACCTCTTCCCTTAAGTGTTGAAGCCTTTAGAGGCCATAACGTAGTTATTTCTTGTATATGTGCAGTGATTACGCTATTTTTACACTTGCTAAATTAATTAATGTACAAAAGGCAACTTCCACACCTTTGCGCACAACTTCATTCTCTTATTTTTATTCTTAAATGGGTAACGAAATTAAATTTGATTCAAATAACAGATTAATATTCCCATTATTGCCCTGAAGCTAGCAGTAGTCCGCAAATGCTACTTATATAATAATTAATCTCTTTTTTGTTAATAGTGAATAATCAGACTTTTGATTTCAGGATCATGAGAATAAGGCAAATGATAGCCTGAGTATCAGGCCTTCCTTAAGGGGTGAGGGGAGAGGAGATTTCACGGGGGGGGGGAGGACAGGGCAAGAGAGAGGAGAGGTTGCTCTCCCTTCCCTGTCTCTTCTTTTTGCTTCTCTCATCTCCTTTCCCCTCAGAAATGCCTGATACTCAGGCTCGGAAAATTAAGGCACTTGAAATTGGATGAAAGTGAAAGACGTGTTGAAAATTTTTACATAATATTTCTTTAGTAAGAATCATCATTTCCTCCAGGATTTATTTATTTGACAAACTGTGTCAACAACCACAAAAATTTGGTTTTGTCAAAATTTGGTTTTGTCACTTTATTACATGGATTAAACAGAAAAAATAATAATTCATCATTTTTTAAAAACAAGATCAATTCAGGCAACTGTCACTAAGGATGGAAAAAACATTGGTCAAAAGCTGACTAGCCCCCCAGTTGATGAATATAATTCATTGCTCTGACCAAAGGCTGACACTCAGAATCTCAGGTTTTGAATCTTTTAACAGCAGTAAATTTCCCAGTAACTTAAAAATTCAGTGGAAAAAAAACCTGTGTTTTACTCCCTCACCACTGCACCACCAGTTTCTTTTAAAACTAATCCCTTCATTCATGTGACACCAATCAGTTGGCTCCATTAGCTCATAACGCGAAAGAGCTTTTAACACACCAGACAACTCATCATTAAAAAATCCTCAGTTGAGCTGATAGTTTGCATAGAAATTAACTGTAAATGCTTCCAGTTCCAAGATTCATGGAGAACTTTTGCAGGTTTAGAAGAAACTCTATGGGGTAACTATTCAAACAAAAACCCTTTTGGAAGCAGTTTTTCAAAATAACCTTTGGAAGTTTTAAAGAATCTCAATATTATTGACACTTCTGCATCCTATCCTCTCATGCTAAAATTAAGGATAGCAATTCTGAAATTTATCAAAAACAATTTATAACCACTGCAATATATGCTACATAGATATTTTCATAAAGTTTCTCTTGGATAAATGTTAATTAACTAGTTACATATAAACTCATTACAAAACACTGCAGGCACAGCTCCTTTCTTCCTTTGATGCTTCATTAACTTCCACAACTTTCCCTTTCCCCTCAGTTGTGCCATTATCCTTTCCTGGCATATCAAGTTCCTTGCGCAATTTTGCTAGCTGTACCTCATGTACTTTTTTAATAGTCTGAGTAAATGCTTCTTCAACATTAGTCGCATCAAGTGCTGAAGCCTCTATAAAACACAATCCTGAGTCGCTTGCATACTTCTTGCCTTCATCAACTGGAACAGCCCGTAGATGTCTCAGATCACATTTATTTCCAACAAGCATGATTACGATGGAAGATTCAGCATGCTCTCTGACCTCTTGCAACCATCTTGCAACATTTTCAAATGTTTTTTGTTTGGACAAATCATAGACAAGAACAGCACCTACAGCTCCTCTGTAATATGCACTTGTAATTGCACGGTAACGCTCTTGCCCAGCAGTATCCCATACCTTTAAATAAATATCAATATTTAATTTGATTATCACCCATTTTCGTCGCATTCACTGGGAGGGGGCCATGGGCCGGGGGGGTTACTGTAGGAATTTTTGGGTGGGGATGTGCCACTAGGACCCCGGAACCCATAGCTTATACCAGACCTAGTTCAGTTCAACTTTGCTATCCTGCACTAGACAAACTTCTCAAATCCCTCTTCATCATAGAGTCACTTTTTTCCAGAAACTACTGAGGTCAACACTTTCTATGTTATCAAACTGAGTTGTTGGCAAATTTAAATTTGCGGACTTCTTTGTATTGAGTGACAATTTCCAGTTTCCCTAGTCTAAACTGAAATCTTAAACCTATCTATCAGTTTCCAAGAAAATGATACCCCACTCTAGACCCAAAATCTCTGACTTCTATACCCTTCCCCAGACTAAACTGCCTGAAAACCATACCATTCACATCTGCTCATACCCTATATAATACTATTAATAGCCCATTTATGGCGGTACCGCCCCCCCCCCACCACCGAGACGATAGGAGCCTATCAAAAACAACAAAACCCACTGAAATAAGACAGTGTAGGAGCCCACTAATACATAAACTCCAACAATCAAAAAGCATCATTCAAACTTCAACCCTAGTTTTCCAAAAAACTCCCGGAAGTCTTAAGATGAAACTTACTTTTAGCGTAAACTGTGGCGAATTATTTCACCAGTTACACAACATACTGGGAACAAAATATTCCACGAAAATGAAACACCAGAAATAAAAATAAGGCCACTGTTTGTAAACACTACATTCCGCTCATTATTTGGCAAATTGTTGATATAACATCGATTTGTAGACAGGGATGTCACCTTTAAATGAACTCAGCTGATATTTTTTCACTCACAAAAATTGTACTTAAAAACCTTAAACGGGAAGCAGAAAAACAAATTTCTATTCAAATCGAAACCTTCTCGCAAGAGTATTGCCCGGCGTAGCAAAGAATCATTTAAGCTTATAAAAGCTCGCGAATGTTTTTCAAGGGAATTATTTTGAATCGTAACGCAATGTGTCTAAAATAAAGTACTTCACTACACGCATGATTTAAGACTCAAAATGTTTCCCGCTTTTAAGAGAAGCTAAACAAAGCTACACGAAAATAAAACTGCATCTTACAAAAACGCAAAAACTAACGCAAGAGAAACCTCACCTGAGCTTTGATAACTTTCTCATCAACAGTAATGCTTCTAGTGGCAAATTCAACCCCAATGGTTGACTTCGATTCGAGGTCAAATTCATTCCTCGTGAAACGGGAAAGCAGAGAGGATTTTCCAACACCAGAATCACCAATCAAAACTATCTTGTATAGATAATCGTAATGGTCGTATCTACTTCCAGCCATAGTCTTAAAAACCAGCGAGATCGAAGAGTTTTCTGTGCAAAGCACTTTGAGCTCTGGAACGTCTATAACTATGCAAGGTGTATCACGTGACCATAATTAAAATACCTGCACGTTCGAGCGCGCGTGGCTTCACGCGCGCTGATGTTTGTGATTTCTTCCTCTTCTTTTTAACAGCAGATGTTTTCTTTTCGTTCACAAATTTTTTATAATGGGGGCTAAAATTCTCACAAAGCGAACAGAGAGGAGGCATGATACTTTTAATAAAAGATGTAAACTTTGATTGCTTAACTCTCATACCAGTTCTGGTCTTCTGAAGGCATGCATTGCTTAATTTCAATATTGTATGTCTTTTTTCAGCGGATTGGAAAGGCTGTTCACGACACAAGCAACTTTGCAACAAAATGTCATGTAAGAAATATTTACATGTTTCACCCTACCCCCGACCGGACTGCCTCTTCAAGAAAACAGGAAGAGTTGTACTGGTAAGGAAAAACATAGCCACCGAGCCTGCAATGGCGGATGATCTCTGTTTCTGCTGCAAAAGAAAGACTTAATGGAAAAGCTGAACATGTAAGTCCCAGGAAAAGAACAACTCGGCACGTCAGTAAATATTTCTGGTAAGCCGGTTAAGACACTTACATGGACCGACCATGCAGTCTATACTAGCTAAGAAAGTCAGTTTTACGTAAGCTTGTGCATACACCTATTTCACTCACAGTTCGGGTTGCTTTGCGCAATCATGGTCATTGAAACACAGAATACAATGCAATGCTTTGCTTAAAAGTGACCACGAAACAATGGCTTTCAAAGACCAAAGCACGATTCCCAAAGCAACCTTTATTGAAATAGGTGTACTACACAGCAGAAGTGACTTACTTCTGCTGAACGTAGCTCACAACAAGCTGGTAGTATAAAGGGTTCCTTAAAATGAAGGGTGGACTAGAGTGGCCCTACATTCTCTTTGTCCTTACTCTTTCCAATTTCCAGCCTTAAATGAGGGACGATGCCACTTCTATGTTACTTCAATGTCTTTTCATCCTTTAACTCTGATGTTATAGCTCTGGTTTGATGCAATAATTTCATTTTGAACATCACATGCAATATTCAGGATAATTTCAAGCCCAATGAAAAATCTCCTCTTATACTCCTAGCTTGTCATGTGTAAAAAAATCCTTGAACCCAATGGAAACTTACCTTGTTTTTTGTAAAGCTCACAGATTTCCAGATTGTTTTGTTTTATTTACAAACATTTGTAGGAAAAGAAGAAATCATGAATAGTCAAGACCTAGTGAAGTTATCAGCTGATAATGAAGAGCACAAGCAGCATAAAAAACGAACCAAGAAAATAAAGGCACAACTTAAAGATCAGGTAATCTACCTGTACTTAGTTGACTATAAAACAATGAACCTTAACCTTTGGTCACAAGCAGTACAAGAAAAAGGTTACCATATTTACCCGTGTATAATGCGCACCCGTATATAATGCGCACCCTATTTTTCAAGACACTTTCTAGAAAAAAATTGTAATTCCTATTGTCATTAAAGCCACAAACCGAAACATTTTCAGCGCAAAATACAACAAAATATTCTTCAGTATAACAGTTTATTACAAGTACCCGTAAACTTTAAGTTTACAGAAGAAAAGCTCGACTTTTTTTCTTACAATCTTTGTTACAGTACAGCAATGATCCTAGTGGCCTATTTACAATAATACCGATAGCTTAAAATCCTTCGGAAACAAAAGGTTCCGTGTATAATGCGCAGCGTAATTTTTCAGCCTCAAATGTCGTAAAAAAAGTGCGCATTATACACGGGTAAATACGGTACTTCCCTACTCTTTTCGAACAGCAGGTTTGGGTTCTTTTATGTCTCCTTCAATTTGACCAATGAAAGAAGGATCAGGAGATGTGTTCAACAGCTTAACGTCACTGCCCAACAATGCTATCATTTGAACTGAGACAAGGTCGTAAATGACAGCCATGATCTTAACTGGTTTTGAGACCCTGTTTATTGATCTGGCCTGAGTTTGAATCTGGGTCCTTCACTGGCAGATCAGGGGCTCTCCCAACTAAGCTAACTGGGCAGCGGTTGAGACAATTTGATGAGCATTGTTCTTGTCATCTTTTGAATAGATTGAGTTTTACTTTGGAGATGCAAACCTCCTGAAAGATCGTTTTATGAAACAAGAAATTAACAAGCACCCGGAAGGATGTAAGTATTCTTGAAATCAAGGGTGGCGATCATATAAAGTTTTTTGTTTTCTAAATCAATGACTGACAACAATAATGTAATATATTATTCAATTTCTTCCTCAGATGTTGCCATTTCAACTATTGCTAACTTCAACAGAATGAAAAAGATAACTGATGATATGAACCTTGTTATTAAGGCCATGAAAATGTCTCCAATACTTGAGGTATGTTGTCCATAAGTCCACTTTTTAAAATGCAAGGTCTTGCTGGTAAGATGTTGAAAGTTCAAGATCTTGCCAGCACAGCTGTGTGTTATGACAACAGACTTTTTATATTTTCAGGTCAGTGAAGATGAGACAATGGTGAGACGAAAAGCTCCTGTCCCAGAGCCAAGAAATGTTGATGCAGAAACAATTTATGTTGTACGTATATCAGTTTGTTAAACTTAATCGTCTCTTGGGGAATGAATAGGCTGTAGTGAGTAATAAGTCCACACGTAAGAATTTCATCTTAAAACTTCAGAATGTTTGAATCCCAAGCAAAACTCTAATGCATTAGAAAACCCAATAGGTGGTTTTCACGTTACATCATCGCTGCCATGCTGGTGGACAGTAAACAAAAGATCGCTCATTAGCTTGCTTTGTTTGTCCACCAGCATTTGTTCATTTCACCATTGTTATTTGTGTTTCCCGAGGATGCATGAAAACCACCTATATGATTTGTTTTACCTGTGATAAAGCTCTTTTACTGGTAGGTATACAGTCCCCTGGGTCAGGAATCAGCCTCTTAGGAAAACATCTCATCCCATAAGACTTATCGAAATGATAGGTCACTGTCTTGTGCACTAGTTTTCTCATTTTATTGTGTGATACATGTTATGGAAAATTCTTTTCATTTGTTTTACATGGTAAGCTGACGATTGTTTATACTTTAAATGGATGTGATCTTGTAGGAAAGACTTCCCCCTTATGCTGATCATGACTGGGTTAAGGAAATTTTTAGCAAGTATGGAAAGGTTGTTTATGTCAGGTAAGTCCTACACTTTAAGACTCCTAACCTCTAATTATCTGCATCTACAAGCAAAACTTTCATTTGGTACTGGTTGTTTATGTTGTACAAGGTGGCTATAATTTGTAAGTTCATGTTCATGGATGAAACGTCATAGAGTAATGATTCAAATGAAAGCTGCCAACTAGTACTTTCCTGTAGTCCGGTTATTTTGCTGTACAAGGTTGTTATAGTTTTTGAGTCTGTGGATGAAACCTCACAGTGCGACAATTCAAATGAAAGCTACCAAGTAGTGCTTTGTTATGGTACTGTCTTATCTATCATGCTGTACAAACCGGTTCTAACTTTTGAATCTGTGAAGCAAAACCTCTTCAGCAGTACCTTCAAGTGGTGCTATTTTTTTTTCCAATATTTTTCAAGAGATTTGTTTTTCCCTTTTATTACGACTTTGGATACCTAAAGAAGTAAGCATATTTATTTTTCTAATACAGCATCCCAAGGTTCAAACACACTGGAGACATAAAGGGATTTGCTTTTGTGGAGTTTGAATCTGCATTGCAAGCTCAAGAAGCACTGCAGGTATTTGTTATTTATCATTTTTCTCCACATTCAAGCAGCTTCTCTCAAACACCCCTGCAGGGGTATTTATATTAATGAAAGGTAAGGGCCCATTTACTATTAAACTCAGAAACCCACAAACAGGTTGAGACACATGAGCAAGTCTGAGAACCACAACCTACTTACCATTATTACTGGTGGTTAGTTTTCTCACGTATGATTAACTTTTTCCTTGCAACACAATTAAACACCTGATGCATTTCTAGCCAAGAGTTTGCGGCTTTCTGAATTTCACAGTAATTGGATCCAACATGTAAGGTAGAAACCTTGTCCGATTCCAGGCAGCAAGAAAAGTACACTCGGCTCTCTCTTGCATCAAAGTTTAAACTAACTCCCTCCCCACGGTCTTGGGGGAGAAGGGAGAAGGTTTAGAGAAGACAGTTTTAAAGCGGTAAAACATCATTGATTCCTGACAGGTTGCTTTATACTTATAAAAACACTTGTACTCTTTTTGTTCACTTTTAATTTCCAACTACTTTGTAGGTTTTCAATAAAGGAGGTAAGACCAAGCAAGATGCGGTTCCTGAAGAGAAAACTGAAAACTCACCCAGTGTAGTTCAGTCGATTGAACAGCAGAAGGTGTCAAAAGGAAAGAGAAAGCGATCACTTAGCGAATCAGAACTAGACACACAACAAAAACACAAAGAAAGAAAAAGAAAACGAACAATCAGTGATTCGTCAGACACTGAGCAACATGATGACATTCAACAAAAAACTGAAGACATGAAAAATAAAGACCATGGAAAAGAACGTAAAGAAAACAGTCGGGGGAAATCCACTGATGAGGCAGGTGAAAACGAGAAGAGTAAAAAAAGTGTCAGGTGGGAAGAAGGTCAACAAGAAGAAATTAGGGATAATAAAAAGGGTGAGGAAACAACATCAGTTGTAAGCCGGAAAAGATCGCATGAGGAATCCATGATTAACGAGGATGAAGTTCAGCAGAAAAGACAGAAAATAAGTGACAAGTCTGAAGAAAGCGGCGAGGATGAAACTGCTGAGAGAAATAAGAAACAGAAGAAGAGAAAAAGGAAGAAGAAGGAAAAGAGAGAAACAAGACTGCCGCACTTACGAGTGATTTCCAAGTAAGTCAAGGGACTTAATGTCTCCTAATAAATGTAGTAATGGGTATCACCTAAGCTGCTGACCAATCAGAGCACGAGAGATTTCACTGAAATGACTAATGACCAATCAGAGCACGCTGCATCACACTGTGACATCACTTAAGTTCATGACCTCATTCCCAGGGTTCTCTCTCTTCCACCCGCGAAAGAGGAAGAGATAGAACCCTGGGAGTGAGCTTGTAAAGTTCAAGGTTAGATTTGTAGAGCAGAAGTGACATCTACTATTTTACTAAGTTTTAACTGTGCATGGCAGATGACCACTTTTTTTAGGAAGGTTTTAATCTTCAGCTAGGGAGTATAAAGTTACAGTAAGCCATGTGTAACAATCTTGAATTTACATTTATTTGATTTTACTAAAATGCACAAGCAGATGCTTTGTTTACTCTCACTAAGTTTTTTTATGGTTTCTTTTCTTAAAGGTTAGAATGGTTAGAACTGAAAAAGGAATACAAGAACTTGCAAAGGGAAGCCATGAATAAATTGAAGAAACAATTGCAGGAAAAATCCTCTGCTGATGGAAACAAGACTGAAGAACAGAAATATGTCAAACCACCACAAAATGGTACTACAAAAGGAAGAGATATCAAGTCCAATGAGCCAAAACAGGCGGATATAAATAAGCTTCCATATACACCAGGAGTTGTGTTAAAGTTCTATTGTAAAGGATCTGGTCTGACTAAGAGAGAATTGAGGGTATGCGGCTCAATCTTTGTATGTACAGTCTGTTCAAGAGATTTTACATTTTTTGCTTTTCATTCTTGGTGACATTGGATTTAAGTAGCTTAACTGGATTCTTTCGATGAAAGCTTAACCGTTCTTCTGAAGTTTACGAAGTATTACGTGTCTCTATTTGTACAGATTTTAGTGGGTAAAATTGTCCTGGCAAAATGTAACTTAGACTGACCTGGTCCATAATCAAGCATGGCTGCTTATTAGAAAGCGTTGTTATCATCTTCTCTTTTCTTTTCGCAGGACAAGTTTTCTTCGTATTCCCCGGTGGCTTATTTAGATTTGGCAGAGGGTGACGATGAGGTACAAACGATATTGTATCTTCATTCAACGCTACTGTATATTTGTAATTGATACAAAATAATAGCCATTTTGTTTTATATCTTGTTTACAGGGTCATGTTCGTTTTCACACAGCAGAAAACTGCAATTCAGTTTTCACAGCGATGTCATCGACAAGCGATAAACTAAAAGTTGAAAAACTTACAGGTATCTTAAAAGTGTAAATTCGTGCTTTTTTTTTCATCAGTTTCACAGTAAGCATGAACAAGCATCATAGCCTTCTTTCAGTGAAGCACCCATTGCAGTATCTAAGGGCTTGTGACCGCATTGGCGGATCCAGGGGGAGGGTCTGGTGGGTCTGACCCCCCCCCCCCTATAAGACCTGACACTTGTTTGAGACAGGATCGTAAATCACGTTTTAAATGGGTGATTTTTAACTAAACCATTAACACAATTGATGCACAAGGCTGCACAAGATTTCTTAAGCTACGTTCATATTGTACCGGATAGCTTTCCCGCCGGCGCGAAAATCATACCGAGTAGGGCTCCTGTTTACACATAAGAACGGTGATTTCTGTGACGGAGCGAAGCTGCGCTGCGCCGATCTCTTAAGAGGAGAGTCACGTATGGGATTGGTATTCATACCATAGCGGTTAGTTTTTGCGCCGGCGCGAAAATCATACCGGATAGGGCTTCTGTTTACACATAAGAGAGGTGATTTTGCCGCGATTTCTCTTACGGAGCGATGCTGCGCTGCGCCGATCTCTTAAGAGGAGAGTCACTGATTGGATAGGTCTTCACACTATACCTGATACCCGGGGGGGGTACTCCCCTATAAGGGCTTAATGTGGACGTGCGGCGAGCCAGGGTATGTTTTTCGGGATTTTTGTCTTAAACAGGGTTTCGATTTAATCATTTTTTGTCTTAATCACGGCATCGATTTTATCAGTTTTTGTCTTAAACAGTGTATTTTTTCTGGGACGATAAACAGCCTTTGGGTATGTTCTACGAACTAAACTACAGTAAAATTTCTATTTATTATTGTCTTACACAGGGTATGGTTTCGGGTTAAATGTCTTAAACAGGGTATCAAAAATCGGAATTCTGTCTTAAACAGGGTAGGAAAATCAGAGATTTTTGTCTTAAACAGGGTCAGGGTATTGGGGGGCCGGACCGCACCTCCCCACCCAAGGATATATCGAGTACCCCCATCTCCCGGTACCGGATAGCTTTTGCGCCACCACGTGGCCTTACCGGATATGGCTTTTCGTGTCGGCATTAACTGAAACTATCCGGTCCAGTATAGTGTGAATACAGCTTAAGAAATCTTGTGCGGCGTTGTGCATCTTTATACGATGATCTGTAAACATCCTTGTATTTAATTTGCAGAGGAGGCTGAGAAGACGTATTGGGAGAAAATAAATGCTGATCGCATGGTTAGATTTAATTCCAAGAGGCAGAAGAAACGCGGAACCGAAAAGGTAGGTACAGTGATGTAGGTTATTGTTCGCTTGCTTCTCTTAATATTTGCTTTCTATTCCTTGAGTTTTTGAGTATGATTTTAGCTCTTAGTGAGACGTTTTACTTGTCGTTAACTGATTTTTAGAAGATGCAGCAATATTTTGGCGAGAAAAACCTGAAAAAGTACGACCTGACATCATCAATGGCTGAGAAAGGCTCGCCAACCTTGAACTCGCGGCGTTTTGGCGTCTGGCATGGAAAGAAAGGCGACACCGAGAAACTATTTCTTTTACTTTTGCTCCCGGGGGGGGGCACTCCCATACATTACCTATACGGGTATGTGCCGCCCAACGGGGTCGTGATTTTGAAGCTCCTGATTTAGAACGGGGTATCCATTTCAGGGGCGTTTTCTAGAACGGGGTATAAAAAATTGTGGATCACGGCTTTATCTTCTGCTTAAAATTGTTGCTGATTATGAAGAAGCATTTATTTGATGTATAAGTCGAACAAGGAAAGAAATATCTCTTAAAATACAGGGCTTTTTCAATTTACAAACTTTCTAGAACGGAGTATAAGCAACTGGCCCATTTCTAGAACGGGGTATCAGTTTTAGGGCGAATTCTAGAACGGGGTATAAAAAATTGGCTCATTTCTATAACGGGGTATCAATTTTAGGGGAAATTTTTTTTAGAACGGGGTGCCAATTTAGAGTCCCGGGCGGCACATACCCACCCAAAAATTATCCAAGTGCCCCCCCCGGGCTTTTGCTCCCTTTTTTTCAGGTGGCAAGAAAAGCTGAAGCCCTTCAACTGCAGCGTCAAAGCCATATCCGTTTTGACGAAAGCGAAGACGAAGAACATACATGAATTTAAGTATAGGAAGAGGAAATCAGTGAATGGTTGACTTCTCAAGGACGCCCTGGTGTTGTCTGTGTGGTTGTTGCTGTCAACCTAGGAGGCATAGCCTTACCAAATGATATCACTAGTTTAGCTGACTGACCGCTGGGTCTAAACATTGTCATTTACGACTTATGACGGAACAGATGATGATTTTTCCATATGTTGTTGAACAAGAACTACGGTTCAGCTTAAATGCCGTCCAATTTAAATCTACTTTCATAAGAAAGTACTGTTCATCATCTTTCATAAGAATTCATCTAAAAAGTTTACTATACTGATTTAAGAAATGCAAGTTTTATAAAAGGGACTAGGCAGGACGCGTTCTCAGATTTGTCGACAGCGGGCATTTAAAGCAATGTTGTGGAAGCGCACATAATTATATAAAGCGCCTTTTATGATAGAAATGTTTGCGAGGAAAGAGATAAATCTACCTTCAAAAGTTGAATGATAAGGCTGTGTATACATAGCTGTGAGTCAATTGTTTTTCCAGCTGTCTAATATAACGTAAATTTCTATAAAAGTTGAAATGATGCTCAGTCTCAGTTGAGTAAACAACCTAAGCGGTTGAAAAAGAACCCGAAAAAATCCGGGTCCTCTTTTTATACTGCAAGAGTCAGGTTTCTTTATTGATTAATAACATGTACAAAGTTTTCTTCTTCAAAAGCTATGAAATACGCAGAGGGTTTCTTTTCAAACTGTATGTCCGAGGTTGAACTTGTACCTATTTTTCTACGGTGGAAAGAAAGTCCCTCTATCACGTGTACGTAGAACGTTCAGTGAAAAAGATCGCCAAAATTTTGTCTCTGTGCATGGTCCCAACGCTCCCGGCCAAAGGGGCACTGGATACGAATCAGTGAAGTTTTACGGTGATTGGTACAAAAGGATCTCGGAATCATTAAGTTGATACTTTTCAGCGAATTTTTGCGCTTTGCTGCTCTGTGATTTTCTATGTTTTCTTTTCCTTTTTAATCGTTCTTCTTGTTCAAACAGCCCCTCTCTATCAGACCTGTCCCATCTGTCACAAAACTGTGAGTTCTTCAAACTGTTCCATATATCTCTTTTAATACAGATGAACACCAAGAGAACTGTAGAAGAAGTAAGAAATAAAACAGTTTTCAGCGCCATGAAGGGTTGTAACGTCGGTCTTTGGTTCAGCGGGCCGGTATTTAGCGGTAACACGTTATCGGAGAACGTTGTAGAATTCAGCGTACGGTTTATCAAACCTTATGAAACCTTGAGGAACTGTATAAACATACTGCCACAACTCTACTGTGAAATCACTGAATGGCGACTAATTATTTTGAGCAGTCTGACCCTTACTTCAACCTTGAGGAGAATAAACGGAAATTGCGCATGCCGAGCCAATGAGATCAAAAGTTTTAACTCATCGTCTTTAACTTGCACCAGTATGTTGCATAAGAGATTAACCTCAACTGAGTACTTACCAAAAATCAAACCGGCTGAAACCGTAGCCGCACTGATAATAACTGTTGTGGGTGCCTCTATCACCTCGTTACAGCTCTTCCATTTCCACTCTCCGCATTGTTTATTCTGTGCTTCTTCGTTTCCAGCGCTGTAAACCTTGCACAGCAGCTTTGTCTCACACCAAAAGCAGGCAGTGTCTCGTACGCATGTTTCACAGTTGTCCGCACTGCTACAAACTAATATGGATGAATCGTTTACATCCTGAGTGGAGATTTCTGTGGGTCCTAAATATAAGATTGTCGAAATGAAAGTGAAGAAAAACGCCTTCAAAATATTCATTCCGGCCAGGCGTATTCGCTTCTATTATTCAGTTGTTTTTGAAATTGTTTTTATACGCGCGCTGCGTTCAAATCGTTTATTCGTCAGTTTTTGTAATTTAAATGTGCGCGCGCAAAGGCGCTATTAAATAGTAAAAGTTTTAAAGAAGGTTTTCCTTCTCTGGTTATAAGAGAAGATGCAACGAGCCCAGCAATGCTTTGCAAAGGAAAAGGAGATTGAAGCTCTACAAAGTTCAAAATTACCAACTTTATTCTTTCAATAAACGTTTTGCGTTTCGTTTCGCGCGGATTCTAGTCGTCAGGTCCCCGAGGTGAATTTAAAAAGCTTGAACTATAAGAAACTGGGAACTAGTAAGAGATTCGTAGCATGATCTTACCAGGAAATAATGAGGACCAGTAATGGTCGCGTTCAGTCAAACACGTGCGCTTTCTTCGTTACGCGTAGGATTTTACTGAGTATTGCATCATCAGGTGTTGTTAATCAATGAAACATGATTCACCTGGGTAATATTTCGAGTAGCAACAGACGTTTTTCACAGTGACGTCATCAAATTGTAAAGTCAAAATAGCGAGGTTTTACGAATTCTTATTTACACCAGGTTGAAGATAAACGAAAAATAAATCTTTGAACAAGTTTCCATTCCCGTAGCATATTTCATTTCGAAAATAGAGCAATTTGAACTTCCTAGTTTTTACCGTGCATGACACCAAAATAGGGAGCTTAAGCAACAACGTTTTTGAGCGACGCACGTCAACCGGAAGTGGCCTTTTTTCATTTCTTGACGGTGGTTTCGCGCAAATTTTCAGTCAAATCGCCGCTATAACAGTAAAGAAGCTAAGGAATACAAATTTTATATCATCAAGGCATGTTAAGAGGGAAAATACCTCACTTCCGGTTGACGTGCGTCGCTCAAAAACGTCGCTGCTTAAGCTCCCTAATAGGAATGCTGTCTCGTTGAAAAAAAGGCTCTTCTCTTGATTTTCAGCAGTATAACCATTTTAAGTATTAGAAGATATGTTTATGCGCACGTATGCTAGTTCTCGAGTGAAAAGAAAGAGCTTTTTTTAGAAAAAGTTACCTCCAGATGTTTTTGTTGATTTCCGGCGGCCATATTGGTGGACCAAAACGGTGCACCAATATGGCGTCTCCATACAAAGCTCTGCAAAGGTGTATGAAACGTTTAGGTAAATAACTCAGAAAATGTGGGCCACAAAGTCCTGAAACTTGGACAAATCGTTTAATTTAGTCATTTCATTTTCTTGGCTTCTTCCACTGGACAATTTTTTCCAATTTATTTTTTTGTTGCGTGACCTTGAAAACGATCTATAACCGACAACCAATCAGCATTCTACACGTTCCTTGCGCTCTGTTCGTGTTAAATTAATAATTCAAAGTGGACAGACTGCAAATTTTAGTAGTTACTAAAATATATATCTACGTGTCGTAACTGTTCATCAGTAGGATGCCCAAAATGTGTGCAATTCCACGATTGGTTTGTACTCCATTAAATCCTATACCAACTGTAGAACATTTTAGAAGGAGCCACCCACTATGTGATCACAGCCACGGACAACACATAATAAGTGACGAAAATAACGCAAAGTAAAGCTAGGACATTATTTAACGAACTAAATGTACACGTCAATTAAATAAATAAATAACTAATAATAAGTTGGTTTATAATAAGTTGGACTTCGGACTGTAGTAGGTAAGACCTCTCTTGGTAAGACTGATAGATATATACCCGGGCTTCCAGCAGCAGGTTTCGTTCTTTTCTTTTCTTTTTTTTTCCTTATTCCTTATAGTTCGCGGCGAAGCCGGGTGAGCGAGGTGCAAATTATCAAACCGTGCTCCGGGTTGTTTCGTCCTAGATATTTCGAGAACGGACCTCTGATAGCCGCCAGGGAGACTGATAGATGGTCATGTACAAGATTACATACAACGTTAACGTTTGGGAATGGAAACTCAGTTGAGCCCTTGAAATTCAAACGAAAAACTTCCTCGTGCTGAATAATATGAGCTACCGAATGTGTGCACCATAAAAAAACGCTGAGAAAGCAATTCTTTAGAGAACTCAGTTTTATTTAAAATTGCCTTTATATTGTAACTGAAAGCATGCATTTTATGTATTTGAAAACACTGAATGGAAACGGATACATTGCAACTTACAACTATATATTTTCAAGTTCAACTCCTACTTCGTCGAAAAATTACCAAAACCTGTTCGCGTACTTAGTTTTCTTTTTAAGATCAAGGATACAGTAAAAACCCACGACTAAGAACCTGGTTTTTAAGAACCTGTTAGGTTATAATTTGCGAGTTAGGCCCCCTCTATACAAGAACCTGTTCAACCTGAAATACGAAACAGGTTCTTATTTTCTAAATTTCATAGAGAAAATTCTTTTCAGTTGGGCAAATAAGATAAGTCAATATTCAGGATCCTCTTTGAACACATAGGAGACTTATCACTCCAGCTGTAATGTAATGGTCTGCTGATTTTATAGAAGGAATTAAGGTACATACCACTAAATGCTCTTAGCTTCAATGTATCTTTTTCTTCAGAAAATATGAACCTATTTAAGAACCTAAAGTGCCCTAAACATGTACTACAGTAATTACCATTTATGTAATTAGGCTGACTTGGGAAAATGCAGGTTCTTAGTCGCGGGTTTTTACTGTACTTAGTTTTACTGACTTTTGTCCATATAATTCTGTGGCTACTATTCTATTCTTACATGTTCCTATTTAGTAAACTGTTACTGCAATGTTGTTTGTGAGATAGCTCAAATAAAAAGAGAGCGACCCTTTTTGAAATGCTATAGTCAGAACTGTCAGATGCGAATTGGTAGCATTGATATCCGATACAAATATAGGGAGGCCTTTACAATTGGAGTTTTGTAGCTGTTGAGCAGCATTATTTATGGCCCATCTCAACGGGAAAATTAAGCTAAATTAGTTCACTCGAAAATAACAGAGTGACGTATTTCACGAATAATTTTACAGTGCATGAAATTCTACCCGAAAATAACTTTATCAAGCCGGAATCGCGTATTAAAGGTTGAAGAAGCGGAAATACTACTGCTATTAAACGAAGAGTTCATTATGACGCCATGTGTAAACTTTGCTCAGAGTTCTCAGAATCTTACAATGGAACAAGCAGAAACTGCCGGGTAAGAATTTCTAAAGTACGTGGGTTTCATGCTTCGGGACGGTCGGTTCTCTTGCTAGCGCCGCACGTTTAACTGCTGAGTTGCTGTTTCGCTGAGACAAATAGCCCGAGTTCAGAACAACTGCAATAAGTTTGAATGAGTATAGATATGGCGCGTTGAGAACTACGTATTTTTGTTAAATTAAGTCTTGGCGTCACTTTTCCTTTAGCGGAACTTATAAATTTTTTGACTAGAGACCAAATGGTACTGTCCTTTTCGACTTTTTCTACTGTGCGCTCACTGAACAAGATGACTAGTGTGTGATGACTTGGCTTTATGGCGTTCGTTGAACTTCGCGCAGCTAAAAAAAGGTCAGGGGCACCCAACGACAATTTTCGGAAAAATATCTGTTCGGAAGACGATTTGAGATCTAGAATTTTCGGAACATTTGTTGTAAAATTTCTTGCTTCCCTGCCTCTCCTAGGATTTTCGAACATCTAAAAAATGGTAAAATCGCCCATTTTCAACGGATTTTTACCTTAAAAAGGTCACCTAGAATTTTCGGGAGCCTTTTTTCTGGTTGGAATTTTCGAACAGGTAACTTTTGATCCCTATAATTTTCGGATCACTAGACTTTCAGCTAGGAAATCGGAACAGATGAAAAATTTATAGGGGATAAAAATATGCCCATATCGACCGTTTAAATACTAAAACACGTTTAACAATGCTATGTTTAAGTGGTTTTGAACTATATTCTCGTTGGGTGCCCCTGAAAGGTTGGGTTTATCTTTTTTATTATTTGAAGATCCCATTACGGTTCAAAGCTCATGTTATGAGCAAGAAATCATGAAACACATATAGCTTGTTCTTATGTTTCTCTCTTATGTGTTTTATGTGAGAATGAAAGTCGTAATGTTTCAGTTTTGATTCCAGTCGGCTAAAGACGCCGAGTCAATATGCTTTCCATCGCTTATTGAAAAAGGTTTAGGCAGCTCTATCTTTTACATAACTCTAAGCCTATCTTGCCTATCAAAGGAATGTTATATTACAGTTCTTTGAAATCTGTTTATTTTTTTTCTTTTATGGTCATTTGAAGCTCTTGCTCCTGCTTCCTTTTAGTAGCTTGCTTCTTTGTGAGGGTAAACCATTGAGTCAATTCGCAATTCCTGATTTCTTGAAAATGGAACTAGGTAGATTCATCTTACCACTGCGATTTTTTCAAAAAGGCAGCGGAGAAATCTACTTCGATCCACACAGAAGGATCGAAAAACGAACACGGTCCGAAGACCTTACCGGTACGCCGGATAATGGCTTATTACTAAGCAATTTTATTGGAGCTTAATTTGTTTTGCATCTCTTTTTTTGCAAAGTATGCTGAAAGATCAATTGCTCTAGATTCGAACGCCTCATTTAACTACGGAGCTACCGAGTAAACGGCCTTGAGAGCTGTGTGACTCGTGTCATGTACACTGGTCACTCATACTGGTGTGATCAACTAAAAAAAAAACAGAAAACCTTGTTAGTAGATGAAAAAAAACCTCATTGAATTGGCTGACTGTTGTGTAACCTAAAGCAAACGGCTAACGGTGCAAATTAAAAAGGTTCTTTTCAGCAAATGTTAAAGCAAAGCCAATGCTTAGTGTGCGCGTCGGGGATTCCCCTAATAAGCGACGTCATAAATATAGATTGCAAAAACAAAATTAGTAATTCAATAGCTTGGTCACTCGTTGCGTGCTCCAGTGGTACAAAGGATATTTCTGGCTCTTTGCCGTTTCTTCACTGCTTCAGAAGAAGGTTTGTAAAGTTCCTTGTTTGAGTAAGATAAGAATAGCTGTAATACCTGCGATGTAGAAGTTGTAAATGTCGTTCTTTACCAAAACGTTGGTTTACAGTGTAAGAATTAATTTTAATAAATTCAAGATGGCGTTATGCTTGTCGAAGCACTTTTCTCCTCGCTTTCTTGGAAACCGTTTATAGTAGACTACATCTTAGAAAACGAGGAAGATGGTTTGGTTTTTCTCAGTTTTAATCTCTGAGTTTTCCCTTTAGCGACTGGACACGCATCAAAAAGAGCTGTCCGGCCAAAAATCGATGAAGCTAAAAATACGATTTTCAAGCTCGGTTGCCTACAAAGACGACGATAAGAGACCATGGAACCCAATACCACGCCTCAGACCGTGGCTGATCTTCAGAAAAAAGTCGAGCAACTAGCCCTCGAGAAAAATCAGTACTTGAACGAACTAAGCAATGGAGAAATTTTAAAAATGCAACTCAAAGAAACGCGGAAAGATGCCAAACACTTATCAAAACAAAAGCATCGACTACGAGCAATGGCGGATATTGAAGTGTCGAGGGAGGAGGTAATATAATGCGTATATTTTTGAGTCTTAATTTAAGCCTATATAACTTAGATTAAGACCCCTTTTCTCAATTTGGGCAAAAGGTAAAACCTAAAACCAGATTTCTAGATTTTTCAGAGACAGCATGGTATTCTCTCCGCAAGATTAGTCAACCGTGAATGAATAATGGCTACTACTCTGGTCACTCGTCATTCATGCGCAAACAAGAAAGAGGGACTTTTACATTTTTTTTTCTTTTTTGGTACGGTTCCTGTATTTTGGTCACAAAAGTTCCCATCAAATTTGAAATGAACGCCGTTTAGAGTGCTCTTAACTGGCTGGGAAATCAGTCTTCCCTATCCAGTTTTTAGTGTAGGCGTACTTTTGTAAATGATATTAAGTCCATTCAGGTATCGACAATTCAAACTTCTTTGTTTTACAATCCCACGCCGCCTATAAGATCGATTCCTAAGTGCTGAGGTAACAGACATTTTCAGTATACTTTTCTGTCATGTGAGCAACGTTTTTGTCACATCATGGCTGAAAATATATTAAACGGGAAAAAATGGGGTCCTCCCTTCCAGCGTAGGAGGTCTAGCTTGTATAAAATTGCCATCACCCTGACTTTAGCTTGCAAAACTGACCGGATCTTGTCTCGGCAATGCAACAAGATAATTTCCCCAGTTTTGTCCATAAGTCAGTAGAAGAGCTTAGAAGCCGGGGATAGATTTTGTTTATTAACCCCCATGCAAAGGTTCGGTCCGTTCTGACAAGCAACCGATCGGAGGTAAGTCCTTGTTCTTCTTGAATCTTCATTCCCGAAGGACGTCCAGAAATCGTTGTTTCCGCCAAGAGCGATAAGCAACATACTTAAACTTGACTTTCGTAACCATAGCTCCGTGCGTTGAAACATTCATACATACGTCGCTATCAAGAATTCACCGGTCGCCCACGCACTCCGTCTTCGGTCGCAAGGAGAGCTAATACTCCGTTTAGTCAGTTGAGATCGTCAAAGGCCGTAATCTGTTTAAAATCCACACAACAGTTTCTTGTCTTCAATTCGCGCATTTTTGTGGCTACCACCCTCTGAAAGTCTTTGAAAGTGTAATAATCGTTTGTTTAATTTTATTTAGCAATGATTCTCGTATGAATTCATCTTGAGTTGGCCAAAAGAGCTTAATTTTTTAAAACAAGTGCCAAGTGAGGGGGGGAAATGGTTGATTCGGAGTTGAAAATAAACGGTATAAAACAGTAAGAAAGTTTGTTGCAATGACGTTCCTAAAATGATTATTTTTAACAACTGAATGCGTTCAAAGGTTCATTTTCAAGTCAAATTCTATTCTCAGAGAGTCATCTAATGTCGCTCCCACTTGGCACAGTGCCGTTGTTTAGTTTACAATGTTTTCTAATGTGACCGGGTTTTTCCCATCTATCACCTCAGAAGGAAATCGGAAGTTTGCATTTTTTACCTATTGTTCTAGTCACGATCTTCCGCCTAGAGCCCGCCGCCTAGTGGTCGCTGGGTAAAGTCCCTGTGGCCCGCCATAGGAAATGTAGCCTGCGTAGCAAGCGTTTCCGTGCTTTTTGGTTCTCGTTTCATTTCTCGCGCGGCCAAAACCGAGAATCTCGTTCCTCGATCTTTCTTTGCTCCGAAACAGAAAAACGGAAACGCTTGCTACGCAGGCTATGGGAAATGTGATTTCAATGGACTGAAATTTCCTGACAAAAGAAAAGAGAAACTCGAACGTTACTGGTTACGGCAAGTTTACTGATTAAAACTTTCATACTTTCATGGACTCATTTCGTTCACCGCATTATTTCTGTGGCAAAACCTTCATGTCGCCAGAAGAGAATCCCACTTCGTAACAGCCCGTCGACCAAGACGTACAGCGACAGTACCGGCTGTACCCGCCCAATGGCTTGGTAGCAGTGGTCGACCATAACACGGAAGTAACGAAAATAGCCAGCTCTTCAACCTTTGTTCAACCTATATTATTGTTGCTCATGCACACAGATTGGATAAAAGCGCAAAACAGAGCATTTTATTGTTTGGAGGTAAAACGTTTGACGGCAGCTAAATTTCACTTACTAGATGTGAAAAATAAGCTTCCCAAACATTGAAATTACCCTTGAGATTTTCCGCGCATTTTTATAAGCCAGACTGCCGGTCCGGACACTGTTTTTTCAACTGGCTTTTCAGTGACAAACACATGCACACCTTTTAAGCTGCATTTCCGCATACGTCGAGTCTGGTTTTACATGCAGTTGGTAATATAGTATGGAAATTTAGTACAATGAGAATTTAATACCCTTGAAGATATAAATTTAGAGGTAAATAAGCTTTTTTGGTTACTTCCGCGTTCTTTGTCGACATCTACTTTGTTTACGGCTATTTGTTTCGTTGGCTATTCATCGTAGTATTTCAGGTCTCGGCTGTTTCTCTTCGTCTCTTCAGTGGGTCGGACTCGTTGTTAGTTTATTTTTGGCAGACGCTTTTCTTCTTGACTTCTGTGCAACTCAATCCTGAATGAGGAGAAGTGACGCGGCTCCCTCATTCTATGTGGTTTATAATGTTGTCCTCACCCGGTTTTGAAGCTTTCTCCCTTGTTAGTGTCACCTGATATATTGGAGGGTCCCCAACGGAGTAGCCCGCTCTATCGACTGGGATCAACATTTGACAACCAGCATCGTAGATTCTCGTAACCCCTTATCCAACTCATAACTACAATCCCAAACCTCCCTCTCTTTAACTCAATTATCCCAAATCCTGACAATCAAATAACCCAAAACCTGGATCCTGGAATAGCTTTTGGAACCATGAACGTAATGTGGAAAATGTTTGCCCGCATGTACCACCCCTTGATCTCCAGATTCAACATGACGGAGTTAAGCCGATTTCCTCAAGTTCTTTGGCGCCAAACATTTGTCAACCAGTTGGTCTGGTCGTTTAGCTCATCCCACAGGGACCCCAAGCTGGCTTACAGAAACTGAAACGAAATGCAAGCGCAAGATGTTCACTGGTGCGAGTGTACGGTACAAAGCCATGTCTACTACCTTCCAGAGGAATGGTTTTGAGTATGGTTTTTACCTATTCAATCTTGAATCTGGAAATGGCTCAAAGGGAGCCGTAAAAATCTTAATCCTTTGTCTCTTTTCATCTGCAAATGAAAGATAGAATATTAATCCAAGAAGCAAAACTCGATTCACCTCTTGCGGTCTCTTTCTCAGACACAGCCTTTAGAAGGTGAAGTTTAAATGTTCAAGTTTGAAGATAAAGTCAGAAAATGGTTTATTTTGGTCACAAGTTGGATCTGTCGGTTACTAAATAGGGTCTGTCCATAGGGCGGTAGAGTACCAGTCAATTATGATGATGCTCTAGGACTTCCGGTAGCGCATTGAAACAACAGCTTCCGCCCATGATGACGAGGAGGACGACGACGACGACGGCGTCTAGCGTCTGTATTTAGGCGGCCATACCCACCCCTACAATTCCATAAGTACCTTTTACGGTCTGTTACTTTTAATGAAAAAAAATACTTGAAGTAAAACAAAGCTTTTTAGATTCCGTATGTTTTCCAGTGAAAACTTTTGTGGTGTTTTACCTATTCCATTAAAGGTGCTTGCGTTTCTCTTCTCTTGAATAATCATATTGAAAGACTTTGATAACTTCTTAGATTCTTTTTGGGCACAGTTCTTGGCTTCTTCATGGGTGACTGAGTTTTGCAGCTAGAAATAAACTCAGCTGCTTATCGCACGCATCGTATATTACCGGTGTTATTTTGTGCTAGAAGCGTCGACTGAACGCGACTTGTTACTTCATTTATATCTACCAAAGCTATCTTAGTAAGTTTGAGTGAGATGCCTATCTTGTGAATAAGGTCGCGCTATGAAATTCATCTGTACAGCCCTGCTTTATTTGAGATTGTACTGTTTTTTTTTTTCTTTAAATGCAGCTTTCTAATAAATAAAATGCCACTTGTCATAATTCTGTTTCACCAGTAAGCGTCGCCAACATTTTAGCTCTTGTAACATATATTTGTAAATTCTGATCATATGATGTTCAATGTCAGTTTCTATACTTATTTTCTGTTTCCAGACTTGAAGCTATCTATGAAACTTGTCAAATTCCTGTTTCGGGCAATGTTGTCAGATGGGGACGCTTCTAATACCCCTGTTTTAATCATTTCCTGTATAGTACAGTGCTTGTGTCGTCCAATTAACATCAGTGAACTGCACGCGGGTATATGTACACTATCGAGTTACTGTATTTGCATTTTAAAAAAATGCTGGAGTATCGAACTTACAGAAATTTCGTTTTCAGTCCTGTTTAGAAAATCTTTGTTATTCATGTAAAACGCCACCTAAATCACAAGACGAATTTTTTGTTACCAGCACTCTCCACCCTGTTTAATACTGAATCTCTTCCGATACCAAAGCTTAGGAGAAAATGTGGTTTCTGAATGTAAAATTGGCAGTAGAAATAATAAAATACAAACTCTGTCCTTATATGGTACTCAATCTTAAGGTCTAATATGATTGGCTCCTTAAACAATACTCTCGTACAGTTGTTTAATCGTGTTTAAGAATATCGAAAGTGTCACTTCCGCCCCAGCGGTTTCTTATGCTAAAAAAAATCCCCAAGTTTGGTTAAGAGTTCTATAATTACTCGGGGGTTTATCTTATTTTCAAACAAATGGAAATTCTAAATTTGGTAGAATGATAAGACGTTAAATCGTATCCTTTCCGAATGGGTATTTAATCGCTTCAGGTAAGTTTGCAGCGATGAACATTTTTATCTTACATAAAGGGCACATTGGGCTCTCGTGTGACATGGACATCTAGGTAACTGTGTTCCATATTTTATTGTTAGTTCCGGTTCGATTTAGTTTTAACTTTGCAATGTTTTTAGCAACCACCTTCTTACATTATAGCAACGTTGTGTTTTTAAAAGACCCGCGGCCTTAGAAATCATTATCCGTAACATGTAACCAGTTTCCGTGTGAATGTGACCTTAAGGAAATCGGGGAATTAGACAAGCTGCTTAATATCTGAAAGTGATTTCAGTTGTATCCGAATCACGCTGCTGATTTAGAAACTTTCAAGGATTAGACACAAAGTTCACATCTGAAGACAGAGTCAAACTTGCTTGTTTTGTGACCGCTTGTAAGGAATCATCACGTAGAAAGCTGGCCTTCACAGTGTAGTGAGTGTAATTGAGGTTTATATGATTTGATACTGTTTTAAACCAGAATTAGCTAAAGCTTAACTTGTCTTTTACTTCTCTCCCTGCCTATTATCAATGTTTGTCCTTCAGATGCGACTTCTTTCCTTAATTTAACCTCCGTTTTGTTCGGCTTAAGCGTTATGACTTTCTGGTTACTTTCTTGTTACTGTCTTGCAAAGTAGGCGAGAAAACGGGTGATTTAATTTCGACTGGTGTAAGTGGTAATTAATATTATCTGGATATTGGACTAACTTGAAAACTCACTTACTATCATTCGAATATAATATTTATATCTGGAAAGAGTCTCCAAGTCCTGTCATTTCTGTATAACCACTCATTTTACCAGGTCAGCTTGTTTTATTCGATCTTGCAACGTGTTCTTCTCTCGTATGGCCCGTTCTGTTGCGCTGTTTTGACGTTCAACCCTCTCCTTGCGAACGACTCCCTTAATCAGGCACTTAAGTCGTTCCCTGTCGCCGTTCTTCAGTCTTTTATTTTCTTTCTTTGTGAGATGGAAGATGGACATCACATAAACACGTCTACGGTTATCTTAGCGAGAGAAAGCGAGATGAGTGTAGTCAGTCTTCCATGGATTAAAACACATGCAAGAACTATACAGATTCGATTACCAAAAATAAAAGAGGAGCAACTGCTGAAAGGGGTCACTTAATAACTTGAGACAAAACAAAAACAAAAAAATGTGCTTCAAAATTTATTTTACATCCTTCGGGAGTTTGTACAGGTAATTCAAATTTTGTTGTGCCGTAATTATATTACATACTTTTTATACGTATTGAAATAGTTTTCATATTTCGCCATGTCTAACAAATATCTAACACGCATTCCTGCGCAGCTGAAAGGCTTCTTAAAGCGGGCAGGTCATTATTTTTAGCTTTATATGGATACCTGTGGTCATTTCAATCTATCTATTTATAATAGTTACAAAAATTCCCATAAGAATTTCATTCCTTCTGAGTTAATATCAGTTTGGTCTCCTGAGAATCTAATTAAACGGAAGTGCGAGTTAAAAGGAGCTTTTAAAAACTTGTGATCTTCTCAGTTCCTCGGGAAATTGATGGGAATTAAATATACTCTCACAGTCACGCTTGGCTTCAACTTCCCAAGCTGTTTCATTGACACTGACCATCATTTCAAATAGTTTATTTGTCCTCAGTAACTTTTGAGTCCATGTAACAGGTCGAGATCCTACTGTTTAACCTTTAAATAAGAAGTACTTTTACACCGCATTTAACAATCTTGTACGAAGTCGTAAGTTTTGGGTCTGTGGACAAAGTCCTTTGTTACGCTGTTACTATTTAAATGAACCTCTTTAGCAGTACTTCGGTATGAAATCATTGGTTTTCAGTTTTCTGTATTTTACAAAATGTCAGTTTTTTTAGTTTCTATTTGGCCGCATTAAGCCGCAGTTCCTTTAACTTTTCCGTATTGACTGGCCAATATACCTGTTTATTATGCTGTTATTGATAGAGTCCATCTTTTTCAGACTTTAGGACAGTCTCAAGAAAACAGCTCTTCTCAACCAGAGAAACAACTTCCTTCAGAATTAAACCTTTCAACATCAAACGAAGCATTCCCAGAACTGTTACCTCCAGGAGCCTTCAACTCTACCCCATCCAAAGAAGAGAGTCCTTCCTTACATTCCCAAGAAAGTTTTCCTCCACCTCCTCCACACGGGTTTTCGATGAATGGTGAAATTTCCCCGACATTGCCGACTGCTCCATTTGCAAATGTACCAAGGGAGCCCAACTGGGGAATACTGGACGCTAACGCCATGCGAATTGAAAACCGTGATTTGGTGAGAATTAAGAGAAAACAAGAAGAGCAGATTCAGAACCTCGTGCAAGAAGTTGCTACATTGGAAACAAGATGTAAAGAACTCGAGGGTATTGCACAACGGTAAGGCACCATTACTAAATGTCCATAACATCTTTCTCGTTCTTTTGAGGCGGCCTTTTTAGTCTGACAAGCTTACGGGCCTAGGTTTTACCCTTTTATCAGTAAACATCGACATCTTTTTAAATGGAACGGTGATGAGTCCAGGTCTTAGCCTGCGAGCAAATCCTTTACTTTGGGCGATATTGTGAGAAGTCACGCTCGAGAAGCACGCGAAAGGAGACGTAGGAACGAGATGGGAGTATGGAGAGCTTACTCGCGGTAGACTATCGAGAATCTCGAAAAGTGGGCCAGCCCGGTTGACCGGACTCTTGGATACAGTCTCGTACTTCCATCTCTTCTTTGAACTATAAGTGATATTTAACAAGTGTTGTACTACTTTGGACGTGCCTTAACAACTGACTTCTTGTTCGGTTTTTAGCCTTGAAGCCGAGAATCATCGCCTCTCGCAGCAGTTGAGTACAGCACATGTCGGTCAAGCGCGTGATTACAACGGACCGTATGAGGAAATTCAACTTCTGAGAGCACAGGTACAAAATAGCTCCCCATATACGTATACTAACGATTCTGTGATACCCTGATATAAAGTGTCAGTGGAATGGGAAAATGGTTTCTTTATAATGGGGATACATTGTATCGGCGCTACTCCTGTCAGTAAGGGACGTTGATAGTTCGTTTCGCGAAGATCTTAGCTGTGAATGAACTGGGTATATTGTAGTTCTACTATATTAAATTGAATTTTATTCACCCGGTTGGTCTACAAGACGTTCTAGAGCTTTTTGACAAGAATGTGAGTTAGATTGTAGTTCCCTTTTGTGCGAATGACTTACCACTAACTTCTTTTTACAGTTAAAAGTTTATGAAGATGATTTCAAGAAGGAAAGATCCGAGAGGGAAAACTTAAACACGCAGAAAGAACGCTACAAGAGAGAATTACGAGAATCTCAAGCAACTGTTGCTGGTCTGCAAAGGCAGCTTAAACAGGTAAATACTGCAGCGAGGACTAATGCAAGTTTACCGATATTTTTCTTTTCCCGTTTTAGTTACCAGAAAAAAATCATTTCTATCGACTCTTCCCAATTTCAGGCTCTCGCAGGAGAGGGTGGCTATGCCGAACCACGTGATCTCCCACGTGGACCAATCGTCAACGAGCGTTACTATGATCCCTACACGGTGAGGCTCCCACTGGATTATGGGATGACACGCACCTACTCTGGAGATTACATTGGTCCGGGTGCTACTAGGGTGAGTAGATCTTAACACATTACTATTCTTTTTAAGAGAAAGTAAACAACAGAATATCACACTGGGTGCAAAGTTTAAAATCTCATTCAAGTCATCAACTTTTCTTTTAGGATCTACTTCGACGTGGAGGAGCACCTTATGTAAAGAAGGCGTTCTTGTCACCAGATATGACAGCTGTTGTCGATGATTATGACACAACTGATGGAAAGCCGCGCGCGCCAAAGAGCATCTAAAGAGTGGACAACACGTTGATTTTTGAGTTGTATCCAGGGTTTCTTTTCTGCCATTATACCATAATGGCTCTCGCCAATCACTGGCATGTACTCTGTCATTTGAGCAAGAAATTGATTTTACCATCGAGTACACATATTGATAAAGGAGGGCGGTTTGTTGAAAAGGTCTCGTGCGACTGGCGTGTAATACTGAATTACCGAGGAAAGAGTGTAAATCGGCAGTGATTGAAATATTTCAGTAGACATTTTGTGATAACTTTAAACTACCTAAACTCCTAAAGTTTAAAAATTGCCCTATTATTTTTATCGCTATACCTAACGTTGGAAAATTCGTTTGTGCTTAGACAAACTTTCAAGGGGAGTTATTAATCGAAACTATTTTCTGTAGCTTCAAAAATTATATACCGCACGACCATCGGGTGCTTCTTTTTCATTTAAGTCAATGAAGTAGTAATGCGACAAAAAAAAGCATTTTATAAGTGCATAATTAAGATGCTATTGTATCACCCTTATAAGTAAGTTAAGCAATGTTATAAATGGTATACATGAAATGTTCTGTTAGACCATTATATGTTGCGTATTTTTAGTTGATTTTTGCAAACATAAATTTGGTAATCGCAGATTAGCCGGCGTCAGTATTAAGCTAATTATTTCCTCAGATTGTTTTTGTCCATTCCGGCGTAACGAAAGGAAATGTCTCATTGCCTTCTGTCTTGTTAATGGGGGAAAGGAAATGTACATTAAACATTTTCAAAAGTTTGTGACAAAGCAAAAAAAAAATGGTGACAATTAAGTTTGTCAAAGCAACAATAATATTAACGAGAAAAATTTAATAAAAGTGTTTTTACTTGATTTGTTTCACCTACTCATAAATCCTTGCCCGTGACGGTCCACCTCTGCTATCCTTCTTCGTTGTACGTGGGGTGCGCGATGTCCCAGTTGGGAAGGATACTTTTTCTGCATTAGTGAGCCCGCAAAGAGAAGAAGCTCTGTCAAATCGATCTACGCTTTCAATTCAACCGCTGGTCACTTACTCTAGTTTAATGTCAGTGTTGTGCTGCTGAACTTGGTGGACGCGCTTCTCTCATGTCGACCTATGCTGTCTATTTATTAGGCAACAGTGACGTAAACGAAGCCATGAAAATCAAAAGTTCAATTTATCACAGGTTTGCCCCATGCTTCGGCTTGTCAGTGGGCGGCGTTGTTCTAAATTTTAGCACCAGTTAGCACGACGCTCGCCGATTTCTTTCGCGCGAAAACTGATCTAGAGACTTTTGAAGGATCCCTCTAAACAAAAGGCGGTAACTCGAGTTTTGGGTGGACAAAATACAGTAATCTGTGTATGAAATTGTCTTCCCAAGCCTTACCTCTTTTAAGGTACATGACCAAGGGCTACGCGCTCGGTCATTACTTTTAAGCGGAAGGCCTAGCAGCCAGGCATCATCCTATATAAGAAAAAGGCATAGAAGGTTCACTGACATAGACATTGTTGAAGAAATTTTATTACAAACCTTTGAAGAGACAATAAATAAATTTTAAAATGGATATCATCTATGTGACTCTATTGGATATTAAGCTTCCAGCTAAATAACTCTTTGTCTACAGACTTCTCTTCTAAAGCGTCGTGTTTATCAAATCTTTCGCTTTTCCAAGAATCTCGGGTTTTATATTGTTCATGAAAACTAGGGTATTAGTTGTAGTAAGGTACAACATCTACTACAATTCTTGAGGAGAATTACATATAGAAATAAAATTAACCTATAACTAATTTTATACATTCACTAATTTACCCGCTTTTTGTACTATGAAACCTAATTATAAAACTTTCTTATTTACATGAATCAAAAGCACGGATTTTCAAATAACTTACTATTGGCATCATAAATGGCCGTGTCTTTTGTGTGACTATACATGAAGCGATCATTCCGTTCTTTAGAGTAACAGTATTTATATATATCTATGCTAATAAACTTTATATAGTTAACCCCTTTTAAGTACCAAACGTGAACAAGATCGATTTCTCTTGACGATATCTATACTTCATCAAGGAAAAATAGTTATGAGAATTAATAAAATGATCACCAAAGGAAAATGGGCTCTGATCGTTTGTCAATTTTCTCTTAACTAATTCTTGAGATCAGCCTTGAGCACAGAGGCTTAAATGGAGTTGTTGGATTCTGTATGACTAGAGTCAATATTTGCTGATCAGATGCTTCGCTTTGTTAGTGGTCTGTCGGCATATCCTGCTTCGTGAACTTTCGTAAGCCTTCGTTAAATCGTCGTTAGTTGATCACTTGACCGATGTGCATCTACACTTCTTGCTATGAAGATACCTGTGCTTTCGAAACTTGACAGGAAGTGAGGGGCAGCGAAGAGTTACAGTCTTCGTGAAAGACCGCTGGGGCACGCAAGTGGTGCAAGACTCGAACAGAGGCTGTTCTGAAGCATGGTTTGGGATGTAAAGCGAATTACACTGGCCATAACAAAAGTTGTTCATCACCTGGACTGGCAGACACCCGGGAACTTTGATTGTCTGTTTTAGGGGGCGGGTTTTGCACCAGTCGCTTCGAAGATCAGACTTTCTCATTATGAAGATTTCATCGTCGGGATTTGCTGTTAAACCATCTTTCTGCACTTTAGACGGGCGAGAAACAGTTACTCCGATCAGAAAGGCAAGCAGATAAAGGAGACTGAAAATCATCTTCTTTTCTAAAGGGAAAATAAAGCAATCCTTAATGCTGAAATTGAACATAAGATTTGACATCATCACTAGGTCTTCACTACCCATTGCCAGTCATCTATATAAAAATTTCGCTGGTAAATTTAATTCAAGATGAAGTTTGTTTGAAGTTTGAAGTTCAGTGATTCATAAATGCATAGCAGTTCGAAAACTGAATTGCGTATTTACGTACGTTACAAAAATTAAATTATAGATCTAAAGATTAACTTTCTATCTTAAGTAAAAGGAATAAAAAAGCTAATAACAGATGAGATGCTAAAACAAGTTATCGAAATACAAGCTGCGAAATCGAAAACTCTGATCTAAAAGTTAATTGCTTTAAGACATGAAAAGATAATAAAGGTATTCTTAAAACGGTCGGGTTTAAAACGTAGGATGTTAAAAGGTCGCGCGTGCCTTAATGAATAAGTAGATTTGTGCGGTGCATGTAATAACTTATAAAGGCAGTGATTTTTGTCATTTACCATTGTGTGAAAAAAGTGACTCAGATATTTTGTCATGGTAGGTTGCTAATACCTTAAATTTCATAATAACAAGAGCCTCATGATAGCGATCACCGGGGCAGATGATGGACATTGCTCTCTTCTGTATACCTTCCATTTCTTGCATTAAATATTTAGGCAAACTGATGTGAAAGGCCGGTACTGCATAGTCCATAATTGATCCATTACAACTAGAGTAGAAGAGCCCTAAATGAGTGCGAGTAACCTTAGCTCTCTTAAGTAGTACCAAAAAATATAATCTCTTAGAAGCCTTCTAAACAATTTCATTAATATGGATAGTCCAGGTCAAATCGCTGGAAATATTGAGACCCAATAACTTTACACTGTCTACAAATTCTAAAGCATCGCCGTTAAGAAGATCATTTACGCATCAACAGAAGAACTTGATCGCATGAGAGCGGTGACGTTAGCAACAGATGAGGGCGGAAGCTTGAACGTTTTTCCGTGTTATTCTTTTTTTCGAATCTACGTAATAATTGGACACCTAAAATAGAATACTATCTTGAGATTTGAATAATAAACCTGGACCTGGGTCAAGTTGTTTGTTTGTTTGTTTTTCTGTCTATAATTAAACTTATTACGAAATAAGAGTGCAATAATGCTTGAAAGGGCTATAATTTCTTCCGTGCGTTTTGACTCTGGGAAAAAGAACAAAGATCAGTGATCAAAACACTAAAAATACACCGTTATGGCAACGATCGAATTTGTTTTCTGAGGGTGAACCCTTTTAAGGAACTTTTATGTCAGTGCTGCATTCTAAATGAAACAGACAGTCTCAGTCCAGCCAAATAGTCCAGCCTGTCTCAGCCCCAAATAGCAGCACGCGACCATGCTACTCACGATAGTGAAATCTGAAATCAGCGGAAAATCACGGTAATAAACTTTTTCCCGCCAAAAATGTGAAAAATGTCGCTAGCTTCGCCAGCGCGCACGATTGCCATCGCGGACGCTCGAATGCGTCTTTTACTGCTCAAACCTATTGAAATTGCTAAAATTTCAAACAAAACACAGAACGCAGCACGTTTCTTGGCTATTAACCGGTGCTGTTCCCGTGAATATCTGTAAAAATAAGTGATTATTTGAGGTAAGTGTGCAAAGCTCAAAATATAGAGCCAACTTCTCGTGCCGTGTTGAATGTATTTCTAAGTTTGGTTTTGATTTGACTTCATTGGCGTTTCGTTCTCAAATTTCTGTGTTGTTCTGTCATTTCTCAAAGTTTAATCCAAAACGGGATAACCTACAAAATGTTCAAGTTTAATTCTATGACTGAATTTCGCAAAAACAGATCAGTTAGAACTTAGACCAACTTAGTGTTTAAATCAAAGAAAAGGTTTTGACGTAGCATCTCCTTTTTATAATTACAAGCCATATGTATAAAATTTTAACAACATTTTCCTCTTTTTGTTAGTCATCCGTCTCCTTTTATACTGGATAGATGTGATGTTTAAAAGTTTCCGTTTTTTTAGAAAAGTGTTAAAAGAAACTGCCTTGGATCCGTTTTGTTTTTAGACATTACAGACTAGTTTTTAAAAAAGAGTTTTTCCCAATTTTGTTCTGCACGCTGAATTAAAGAGAACGTATCGTAAGAGAGTGAACTTATATGACGCGTTTTGAAGCTGCGTTATTACAAGACCAAGGTTTTGTATCATAAAGTTTACATGTTTCTGAGTTGCTTAAAAAAGGCATAAGTTCTTCAGTTGACGCATTGAGAAATGATCGATTTTTTACAATGAATGACGATCAACACAGTTGAACGTATGAGTTGTATGATGTAGTTTTCTGTAAAGAAACCCAAGAGGAAAAGACAGTGCATGCTTCTGAAAAAGGCCGTTTTATGTACAAATATTGCCCAGAATTGAGCCGTCAAAACAGAACAATTGATTCATACTACAAAACAAAGTTCTCACCTGTTAGTGAAGTAAAAAACCTGACACGTTATTCAACTTTTCCTCAGAAAAAGTGGAAAATCTTGACATCAAAGCTTTGAAGAACTTTGGAAACTTAACAGCTTAAAGAAATCTTTCAAGTATTTAAAGCATGGGAAGGATAGAATCACATGATTATGGTTATGTAACGTGTTAGTTAACGACGATATCAGTCACCTTTCCCACGTAATGACAGAGCAATCCCGCGTAAATAATTTGTAGTAAATATCGTCTGATGCATGTCTGCGACGATCGTGGACGTCACGACAACAAATTGACCGTAGTTAGCTATCGCAGTCAGGGATACACGACAACTTTGATAAATCTCCTAGCTCTTAGCTGCTCTATAGTTGGTCATAACTTCTGTTTCTTTGGGATATTTGATATTTTTCGTGAATGTAACCGCAAAACAGTTGTGTTCTCTCTCGATGGTGATTTTAGGGTGGCTTATATTGCTTGAGTTATCTGAATGATTAGTATTTAACTCCTTCTCCGACGAAGTACGACAGTCACGGAATAAGTCAGTTAAAGGCCGGGGACTAGATTTTGATGCAGCTTTTTATGAAATTCAAAAGACAAATTTGAACTTTGGTCAAGTATTATTTGTGTACTGTAATAACGTTTTAAATAATGATGAATGTTTGGCGTTTGTAACTTAAAAAAAAAAGAAACACACGTAACGATAATTTTCGGGAAGGAATTCCCAAGAAAGACCAACCAGATCATCTTTGCAGACAATCAATATTCCTTAAGCTGGGCACGCATTAGAGCAAGCTTAACAACACAACAAATAAACATTTTTA